AGATGTCATCTTCATGTATGCCATGTTCCTGAATAGCTGCATGTACAGCTTGAAACCATGGTATTATAACTCTTGGATCCTCCTGCTTTGCACGCTGGTATGTAATCCTTCGATTATATCTTGTACGCAGCTCAGGATGGCGCTTGACAAATTTATAAGCCCAGTTGATGCCAAGGACTGCAGTAGGATCCTGTAGACGCTCACGGAGTAATATTTGTGCCATTGAACGCAGAAACTCTGGCCGAATTGGAAAACCTCGTTTATCTGCCTCTAGTAATCGCTGAATAAGTGTTTCCTCTTCAATAGCCTTTAATCTATGGCCATTAGCACGTGTTTCTGCGCGTGGTTGTCTTCCTTTAAGGCGAGCGCGAAGGGTAGCCTCAGGCACCCCAAAAATCTCTGCAGCCTTCAGTATTGATTTGACTTTTTGATTTTTATAAGCTGCAATAGCCATTTGAATTCGGTTTTCTTGAGATAAAGGCATTTTTGATAGTGGTGGTGATAAAATGACGCGTTGAAAAAAGGAAGTGGTAGGGTGGAGGAAAATTCGTCGCTCGGTGGTATTCGTCGCTCGGTGGTTGATTACGTTACTTGATAATCAACGTTAATCTACAGTCTCTTATCTTGATCTTATCGACCATGGTCTCTCGCCGTCTAAGTGCCCTGTTCGATGAGCAACGCAACAATCAGAGAAAGAAGAAAATAGAGAGAGAGCATCAATTAAACGATGCTCTGGTCCCGCTGCCATCTGTCAGGCCGCGCGCCTTGACCATTCCATTCTCCCAGGAAGCTCAACCCCCGCCCCAGGGCAAGCGACAACAGCGACCACAACGGACCGAAGAACAGGGACAGTCGTTATTCTTCACGATGTTGCCACCAGAAATCCGTACCAAGATCTATATGATGGTCCTTGGGGGTCATCTCTTGAAGATCCTGAAGGATGACCGGGCACGCTACGTCAAATGGATCGCACAAGAGAGATCACTATTGAATTTGCCAAAGACTTGTCGCAGAATGTATGTTTCTCGAGATGCTGCTAGACGGAATAATAATATCAATAACAGCGAATGATGGGGGGAACGAGAGGGACTTTCGAATCTGGGACGGTTGGCCCATCGAGGATTTGTGTTGTCACTAACAGTTGGTTGATTGCCAACAGATATTCGGAGTGCATTGACCTCCTGTACAGCCATAACACGTTCTTCTTCAACGACTTCGACACAATCCTCTGGTTCGCATCGACCGTCCTGCCACAACGTCTGGCCGTTGTCCGCAGCCTCCACGTCGAGTGGGATTGCGTTTGCTTCTGGCTGCCTCATCTACAGCCTCCACCGCCATTTGATAAAGCGACCTGGTTCGAAGTCTGGAAGGTTATCCGGTCCATGCGCGGTCTCCGGGAACTCACGGTGCGGATCTGGAATGGTCCCAAGATGGATGCCCGCACGGAAATCGATGTCTTCCAGCCTCTAACCGAGGTCCGGGGGCTCAAGCGGTTCGAGTTGGAACTGCCATGGCGGTATCAAGGCGATGGGGATGAAGGACACGAGAATGCACCGTTTCGGATCCGACGCGTTCATCGGAAGTGGGATCCTACACCATTTTGAGCGGACTGACTGGCTGGAATCCAGTGTGCACAGAGAACCGTGCAACATTGACCTTTAATTCTCAATCCTTCTGTTTTGCGCTTTATTTTCCCCCGAATTCTGAACTGCTGGCAGTGTCTTTATAATGCATAATATTTGGGATGTATGATGAATGGATCTAACTGTTTCCCTTTTTTTTTCTCATGTCTTCATCCCCGGGTATATTCCCAACTTTCTTGTTCCGGAGCTGAAGTCCACATAGTGCTACGAAAATTCCGTTATGACCCGAGTATGCTGAGAGAAAGATTATCGGAATAATTCTCTACTCCTTGAAGCTCAGTCAGCTGGTCATAAATCGGTATGCAGTCGATGTGGTCTGCTGCTGCCTGAACAAGGTCACGTACTCTGCGGTCAGATACTCCATTTAACGATCATTTGGTTAACCAGCTGCCCAAAATAGCATCACTTGGCACCGTTTTCGGCATCCCTCTAACCACCCGGTCCGATAGTGCATAGCTTTTACTCCCTGTATCCACTTCTTATGAAACTGTATAAATACACCATGACACTTCAACGAGCCATCTGCCGACTACTGACGATAGATCTGTGCTGCCATCTTCAGCAAGACAGTCGAGGTCTTCGAAATCCCTAAGCTCTTCATCAATTTCTTCTTCCATTCCCGTTAAATGAAGAATGCGAGCAATAGCTGCATGAGCAGCTAGTATGGCCTTATCAGGCAATGGGAAACGATCGTCATGAGATTCAACCCGAACCATGCCATTCTCCGGCAAAGCCCTTTTAAAAAAAATGATGGAAACGATGAATATGTTTCAGGGCGTAGATATTTTCATTCTCCTATAAGGTATTTTTAGTACTGATAAGCTGCCCAGCAGACATAATTAAACTCATTGTTTCTTCAAAAGCCATATTAAATGATCCTAGCGCACCATGAATATCATGTAACAAGGTCATGGCATTTTCAGGATTGTTGATATTGAATGGATCACTCATATCCAAGACCTTCTTAAGAGCTGGGAAACACTGGTACAGCAGATCCCAGGTCTGTAAAGCTGATTCAATCTATCTAGACTTAGCAAGCAGAATCCAGTCCCAGAAAAGCTAGGTCTCTTGTTTACCTCCGGCTTTCCCTTTGACGACAGTGCCATTGAGAAAGGAATAATGTGAGCGCATTCAGTTTCAGCTGTATCCGCGTCTTTAGGCGTCTGATCTTTGCTATTTAGATCATAAATTCCGGTAACAACACACTTATACCCATCACGGGCTAAGCAACTCTTTCTCAGTTTGCTCTGGCCACTTCTGGATACATTCGTAGTAATAGCTTTAGCCGGAAGATCTGTTGTTAATTCCTTTGGCTTGAATTCCTCAGAAGAGGACGAAGACGGTGTTTGGGAAGGAGTTGGAGTAAGTCTTGGATTATGGCCCGCAGACCCTCATCGTTCCCCACAGCTAGGATCATGTTGCAGAATCGTTCTTGTCCCTCTCGGGGGAGACTATCCAGAATATCACTCAGTCGCTTATCCGTTCTATCATTGCTGTTGTATTTCTGATATTGCTGGATTCTTAACTTGGCCCTTGATATTGCATCCTCTGTTTCTGCCTCAATTGGATCCTGGGGATGTTTGACTAATGTTTCCGGATGACTCGGCCCGGTTCTCTTCTTCGACCTCAGCTATGTGTTGCTGTTGCTTTTGCATCTTTCTCTCGCGAGCTTCGAGAGCTGCCCCAGCTAGACGTCTTTTTGACTTGCCCATTTTTGCGTGCAGGCGAGAGACAGGGTTGTACACCGTTTCAAATATCAGTATTAGCGAGGTTTCGCGCGTCGACTTCGGTGAACTTTGACGCCAGGCTATAACCAGATAGTTTCTGCGCCCCGCTAACCGTGTGATTGTTTACTGAGCAGCAATCTTCGCTACACTGTCTGGAGTACGCGGCATATGAGGCACCGTCACGCGTGCGGAGACGGCTAGTGTGAATCTTACAAGCTACAGGCCATACCTGGCCACAGTCACCTACTGTATACGGGATAATCTGCCCAGTCTCCGCAGCACGTTCCGCGCAGGAAGAACCTTAATGACCGTTGCCCTTTAGGCTTTGACAGCCGGCTGGAGCAACGAATCAGAGTCCTGGGCGGGCGAAGCAGGAAGATAACAACCTTGGAAGGTTTAGGCAGATCTCTTTGCAGAGGATGACTTCAGTGTGATTCCTAAGGACCGAGAGATTGCGATTGCTGTTGGTGGCTTGGTAAAGTCATTCCAGTCCATGACGACTATACGTTGATAGACACCAATACCTTTTTATCGATCAAGATCCTTGCGCTTCACGTGGTAATAATTGCGTGTAAAAGCAGAAGGGATTATTGAACTGTCGGACTTTTGATTAGCCTTGCAGATGCGGGAATATTCTTCGTTCGTGAAACAGTGTGTCACCTGTTGCTCCAGATACAGGCCTTGGCAGAAGCAAACCAAGCCAGAGTCATGTAGACTGAGAGATCATACTCTGTAAGTTCTAAAGCTGGAGTAAAATGACAGTCCTTTCCTATTCCTTCTCCGATCTTCGTGCTCGCTTGTCACCAGACTCGCCAGAAGGTCGAGTTACGTAGCGTCGCGCCCAAGGATGGATGCCAAGGGCGCTATGGAGAGTTCGATTCCCTAATTTCTTATTATTGCCACCAGAAGGGTTGCACTGCACGCAGGATGGACGCCGTGACCACTGGTGGATTAATACCTGCCTGCCTCTCTGGGTGCAAATTTATCGCTTGGGCGCGGGGCATGCCAGGCCACTGGGGAACAGCGAGCGAGGTCAGGGCGCAGGACCGAGGGGCGGGAAACAGCGCCGGTGCATTGCCAACGGTGTGGCAGCCAATGGCGCGCCAGGAAGGAGCGACAGAGCCATCGCGCGACGCATGGCAACCGGCGGCTGCGTCGCCTGTGCCACGCGGATAACAGCTTCGGGCCTCAGATCGGGGAAAGCGTAACGAGTGGCTAAAGTTAGCAGAGACGGCAGCCCCCCGGTCTGACAAGGGCAACTTCTAGAATGCGATAGGATGGACGTCTGACAGACCCGGCCGGGGTTTTTTTTCCCTTTCACCGGAGTTAAGCAGTAAATTCTCAACCCAGTCTTGGAAGCCTGCAGCGCGCAGAGCGAAGGGACCGACCAGCCCAAGGCTGACACCAATCAGGCTGACGAATCATGCTCATGGAACGTTCCACGGCATTGTGTGGTTTGTTCCTTGAGTTCTCACACTGTATCTTTCCGCCTGGAACCGCCCAGCCGCGAACTCCACTGACAAGCGTCTGTAGTGCATTGTTAGCCTTACACCAGGCACGAGCTCGATCGTAATTCCATACTGAACAGAGTAATTGGAGCAGCCTGCTCATTACTCTTTCTCGTCCGAGAGGGTCTACTTACTAAACCCTGGTTCAGAGAGAGCGCGGTGTTCTAGTTCTCTTTCAAAGAAAAGCCTCAGTCTTTGGATGAGTGTTGGGATGCGGCGAAATCTGTTTCTCGCGCGCACTTCACTCTTGGGGAAACATGGGAAGACTGGATAGCTATCCGAGTTCCGGACCCAGGGTCTCTGGCGAGAAAGTATAATCGTAATTATTAAGCTCGTTTCGACGGGGTGTTCCGTATGCTTGTAGCAGCAATCCGAGCAAGCTTCCGGTGAGATGCGGAGAACGATGCGGACGCCGACTGCGCCTTTCTGTCTTGCTATCAGCTTGAAACCCGTGTGTTGGGAAGTAGTTGAAGGTCCGCAGTGTGATGAAGAAGCTTACCCTGCAGTCGACTGTCAAGCAGACCAGGCTGCTGCGCTGGGATCGATCAGGGCAGCGCCTTTGTAACGCCCAGTAATAATTGCTCCGTGCTCGTTACCTCCGCCGCCCTCCCCCAGGACCCCAGACCATCCAATCCCCATCCCACCGTGACGCGCTGATGCTGCCAACTTCCTCCTCTTCCTCTCCCCCCAGTTTGCCTTTTCCCTTTTAGTCTTCTCTGCCAATCTTCTTATTTCCCGTCTCTCGTTATCCCTTGCGCTCACACCTGTCGATTATTCTCTTGAGCCGGTCGGTTCTCTGTTCCCGCGAGCTCTGCTGGGCCCTTCACTATTATTGTGGCGCTCACCATCTTGCTCCCCAAGCATTCCACATCCCATTGTTGGGACTTGGGCATCTCCCGGCCCTGGACCCTATTCTCTACCCTTCGTCGCCGGGGATTTTTGCTCTCTCTTCGCAGCGTCATTATCCGTCTCCTCCGGTCCTGTCGCCAAAATCCCTCAGTCCATCTTGTCTCCGGGCCAGGAGCCTACACGGCGGCGCATAGTGGAGCCGACCGGTGAGGCTCTTCACAAACCTCTTGCAGTGATTGCCAGATGAGTCTGGCTTTCCTGTCTTCCTTTGTGTCGTTGTTAACATGGGGTCATTCTTCAAGAATCTGAGGGGCAATGCGGTACGTGCTTGATCGGTTTGCAGTATCGACTACATATTCCTTCTGGGCCATCGCGGCGACAAACGTTGGCCTGCATCTTCTCTTGTATAACACAACACAATCAATCAGAAGGCATTGCTGACTTGTTAATCGCATGCAGGGACCTTCAGCCCCCGCCTCCGGCGCAAGTCCGCCGAAGAAGGATCTCCACGCGCCGCCAATGACCCCTCTTGAGAAGATGCTACAGGATTCAGGTCCAGTTCGAAAGGATGGGAGTGACAAGTTCTTTGGGATGGAGAATGTAAGTTGGCTTGCAAAGTTTATCGTCTCCAACGGGCATAATGCTGATCGCTGGTCATCTCTAGTATGGCAATACATGGTACGTTTGCTGGCGGCTAATTAGCATCTGACTGGACTGGACATCCTCTGCTCACAGAGTTTGGAACCAGTTACTGCAATTCGATTCTACAGTGCCTCTACTACTCCGTCCCTTTCCGAGAGTCAGTGATCAATTATCCAAAACGCACGCCGATCGAAACCCTCGAAGCGGCACTGGCAAAGAATCTCAAGTATCAGAACCCGGATTCTCATCCTGAATCAGAGACTGCTACAGCAAAGCAGAAAGCGAGCGCGGGCCAGTCATCTGCGCGGGGTGCAGGTGTCCCTCCCAATCAACCCCAGAAACCTGAGGACAAGGACTCTCCGGAATATAAGAAGAAGATGGCAATGCAAACCCTCCCCCTTCTCGAAACAAAGGACAACTCGGCTAGCTACGGGATGCAGGAGTCGCTATTCACGTCTCTCAAAGATATCTTTGAGTCCGTGGTGGCAAGCCAGTCGAAGATGGGCATCATTCGACCACACCATTTCCTGGAGATCCTGAAACGTGAATACGAATTGTTTCGGACGCCAATGCACCAGGATGCTCACGAGTTTCTGAATATCCTCCTCAACGAGGTTGTGTCGAATGTAGAGGCGGAAGCCGCGAGACAGGTGGAAGCGGACAGAGACCTGCATACAGCCGACAATGGTGACTCCGAACAGACGTCCACAACCGCTGCCGCTTCGAGCGGCTCGAAATCACCGAATACAACGCGATGGGTCCACGAGCTGTTTGAAGGCACATTGACATCCGAAACCCAGTGTCTGACTTGCGAAAAGGTCTCTCAGCGGGACGAAGTCTTTCTTGACCTCTCAGTGGACCTTGAACAGCATTCATCTGTCACGTCATGTCTGCGAAAGTTCTCTGCGGAAGAAATGCTCTGTGAGAGGAACAAATTTCACTGTGATAACTGCGGCGGACTGCAAGAAGCCGAGAAGCGGATGAAGATCAAGCGTCTACCCAGAATCTTGGCACTTCATTTGAAGCGTTTCAAGTACACGGAAGATCTACAGAGACTGCAGAAACTGTTCCATCGTGTCGTCTACCCCTATCATCTACGCCTCTTCAATACCACCGATGACGCTGAAGACCCCGATCGCCTCTACGAGTTATATGCTGTGGTAGTCCACATTGGAGGAGGGCCGTATCATGGGCACTATGTGGCGATCATCAAGACCGAGGATCGAGGCTGGCTGCTCTTCGATGATGAGATGGTGGAGCCCGTGGACAAGAACTATGTCCGAAACTTCTTTGGGGATCGACCTGGTCTAGCGTGTGCTTACGTACTCTTCTATCAGGAGACGACGCTCGAGGCTGTGCAGAGAGAGCAGGAACAAGAGGGGCTGAGCCCAACGCAGGGTCCTACGGATCTGAAGGATATGAATGGTTCATCTACCTTGAACCACATTCATACCTATCAAGGGCCCACAGATGATGAAGCTCATCGCTTCTCTCCCCTGAAACATACTCCTACAGCACCACAGATGTCGACTCATCCTGAACATGCCTTCTCCACAAGCCCCCCAACGGTTCCTCCTATACCGTCCAACCCACCAACAGCTCTCAATCCTAAGAAGAGTGATGTCCAATCCAGAAAGGAGAGAGCGAAAGAAGAAAAGGAGCGCAAAGCTGCTGAGAAGGAGAAGGAGAAAGCGGAGAAACAACGGAGGAAGGAACGGGAGACTAAGCGGAGGGAAGATATGAAACGTGAAGAAGCGGAACTGAAAGCTGCTATCGAGGCCAGCAAAGCCTCTAAAATCGAAGAGGACCGCCGAGCTCATGATGAAGCTGATAAGGCTCGTGAGAATGGTGGTTCTCACAGGACATTGACTGGCAGTTTGAATCGGTTCCGGCGCGGCAGCAAGAGCTTTAGCCAGAAGCTTGTGATAAGAGAGAAGGATAAACGAGTGCCGTCTTCTGAGGTACCCCGTACCCCTGCCATTGGGTCTCACGACTTTAAATTGTCGAAAACACCACCACTCCCTGAAGAAGTGCCGCCCACAGATACATCTGCAGACCCTTCGCAAAACAATCATCAAGACGAGCCCGCTAAAACAAGGCACGACAAGGCTGGAGGACATGGAAGATGGAGGGGCTTTGGTCTGAGGAAGAAGTCCTTCAGCGTGATGTCATAGACAGCACCCCTCGCCCTTTCTGATCGTGATATCGATTCCTCTTCGATCTAAGCACAGCGGGAATCTTCCCCGCCGCCTCTTTTGTGAAGAAGCTCTTTCTTTTCCAGTACATATTTAGCTGTCGGTTTTTATTAATCTTTTTTTTTTTGTTTCTTCTCGCTCTTTCATACTTTGCATGGGGCGCATCTCTGGTGGGGAAAAAAAAAAGTTCAAAGGGCCAGGTAATTTTGATGAATCCTCCATGGGATCTCCGGAGCAGGCCATTTTCTTCCTATATCATTCTGATACCCTCATCTGAGATTTTCTTTGCGGGCGCTAATCAAGGAAGGTTTGATTTCTTTTGACTGTGTGTGTTTTATTATGCGAAATCTTCGGGCTGGGCAGTTCATCAGGCATATCTGGTCTAATGGGTTTTCATCTTGTGTTTTTATGCAACCATGCAAGGAAAAAAATTTCTCACTTTGAAAGAAAACAGAAAAGCAGGCGCTGAGGTCACTTCTCTCTTGCTTCAGGGAAATGGTGATTCTCCACTAAATACCCATGTATCCTACCATTCGATAGTGAATGACGATGATGACGATTAATATTAACTAATGAACTGGTAGAAATCAAGCATCCCGTGACTCCTTTTCTTGCATTTGATCGATTACAAGATAACATTACACGGCTGGAAAAAGTAGTTGCCTTCCTGGCAGACCAGACCATATCATGACATCAATACATAGGCGAGAGGTATCGTCTCATCTCGTTATCCCAGGATAAGCTCGTATATGATGATTATAGTGTTTATTACGATTAGAGGTACTGAAAGAAGTGATTGAGAGTCGTGTCGTTAGCGCAATTCTTCCACTTTTTGCAAATCATGGGAGGAGGGCGATGTCTGGAGACACTGTCGGGAAACGGGAGCGAGATAATACGTACTTCGCATCACAGTCCGTACACTGGCGATCAGGTTCACGGTTTTGGCTTTCACGCTTGTGCTGTCATAGCTGGCACCGAAGGCAGGATCAGGCTGCGTGCGACCCCAGCCAACTGTAGAGAGAACAGATTATCAGTCACGCTTTCTTTGCTCATATGGGAAGTATATATCGAAGCCACGGAAGATAGCTAGGGGCGAATATGAAGAAGGGAAATCGAGGGTATCGGGTTTAGCATACTTCTTGCGAGAAAGCGGTCTTCAGAGAGTACGGCGATGGCGTTGATGATGAGGACGACAACTGTTGACAAAACGTCGTTAGTCAGGAACAACAGGGGTCTATTCTTGTGTGAAATAAATACGTACCATATACAAGCTTTCCTAAACCAAATAGAATCATCTTGAAAAGCAGTTGTGTGTGACAAGCCTGTTTTACAATGCAGTTTCACTCGAGTTGATACGATTTCGTGTTAATTGAAGCCGCCAGCATGCGGTGTTGTCGTGTTTGTTCGGTTTGCCTTCTCCGCACAGCGGTCCTTCCCGACCGTCACATGCGGAGAGACCATGATATAGTTCCAACAACAACAACAATTCCAGCCGCCACGAACCTCGTGCGGCGGCAATGACAGCAAGATGGCAAGACTGACTGGTGCGTTTCTTTCTTTCGTCAAGTCTTCCGACGTTCTGGCTGATCTACTCTTTGCTAGGTTTCATCCTCTTCTCGGCAATCCCCGCCGTCATTCTCCTCCACCTCCTCGTTTCCCCATACACTAAGGTCGAGGAATCTTTCCACATCCAGGCAATTCATGACATCCTGACCTACGGGATTCCTTTCCCCAGCCTCAGCAAGGATGCTATCTTTGCAAGATTTCGTGACCAATATGATCATTTCTCGTTTCCGGGAGCTGTGCCCCGGACGTTCATTGGGGCACTTGCCCTGTCGGGTGCCTCGAAGCCATTTATATGGTTAGATAGGAACGTGAATAGGCAATTGCTTGGTATGTTCATAGAGTACCATATCCGCCTCTTTCTTGCATAGCAAGTTCTCTGACATCTCTATTTCAAATCATCCAGCTCGAGCTATGTTGGGTCTCTTCAATGCATTCGCCCTTCTCTCCTACGCGTCCGGACTCCAACGGGCCTTCGGCAAGGCTACGGCCTATTGGTACTTGCTGTTTCAGGCAAGCCAGTTTCACGTTATGTACTATGCATCGAGAACTCTGTCAAATATGTTCGCGTTTGGTATCAGTATGTTCTGCCAATATCCCTTTCAATTGTCTCTACCCGTTGACGAAACGGATAATTGGCAATTTCCATGGACTCCTTCCATTTGTATCTTAATACTAACTCCCACCAGCCACGTTAGCATTGCGCCTACTTCTCCCTGATCCAACTGGCCCAAGCAGATACCACCAGAAATGCCGTCTGTCCCTCTCTCTATTGACAGTCGCTGGAATCATCTTCCGCTCTGAACTCGCTCTGTTGCTTGCAACACACACGATATTCCTCTTTGTAACAGGCCGCATTAGGCTGCTGCAAGATATCATCCCTGCGGGAGTGGTAGGCCTCCTTACCGGTCTGACCGCAACGGTGGTAGTAGATTCCTACTTCTGGCAGCAATTTCCTCTGTGGCCGGAGCTAGCTGCGTTCAAGTTCAACGTCATATCAGGCCAGGCCTCCGCCTGGGGCACCCATCCGTGGTATTTTTATTTTGCAAACTCCATTCCAAGACTCCTCTTAAACCCACTAACTTACCTGGTCGGGATCCCGTCGTCTCTTTTCCTCCCTTCGACTCGTCGGGCTTCCATATCTCTGGTTGTCCCGTCCTTGGCCTATGTCGCTCTCTACAGCTTCCTACCTCACAAGGAATGGCGCTTCATTATATACATTATCCCGCCTCTTACCGCGGCAGCTGCACTGGGTACCTCCTATATCTGGACTCATCGGACGAGATCTACCCTCTACCGTGTTCTCTCCATCCTCATTCCCCTTTCCACACTTGTCACCCTGCTAGTTTCAACCTTCATTCTCCTGCCAGCCTCTGCCGCCAACTATCCCGGCGCACACGCTCTTAAAAAGTTGCACGTCTACGCCCATGGCTCGCAACCAGTTGTCTCCGTCCACATGGGGAACCTGGCTTGTCAGACTGGCGTGACACGGTTCCAGCAGCTGCCGCCGCCGCCATTATTGCACATGCCCGGTCGTCCGGACTGGAAGATTCCGTTCCTAAAGAGCGGCGCCTCGACAGTGTGGAGATATGACAAGACCGAGGATGAACATCTCAAATCTACGCCAGAATTCTGGGACCGCTTCGATTACGTTCTCGCGGAAGACGAGCGAGAAGTCACCTCAAAAGTCAGTGATCCTAGACGGTGGGAGATTATCGACGAAGTAGAGGGCTTCGCTGGACTGCGAGTTCTCTCACCGGGCGAAAATGGAAAGGGGAAGCTTGAAAAGGAAGCCTTGCAAACTCTGCTGGGCGAGAACGGCGTCGCATTGTTCGACCTGGCCCGGGATACAATAAGGCGCTACATAACGAGGGGGTGGTGGATCGAAGTCAGGATGGAGCCCAAGATCAAGATCCTGAAGCACGTACGATAGAAAGATGGATTCTTGTTGACTCTAATTATTCACAGGGTTATGATGTATTACTATTTATATTACAGTGTTAACAGTATGGGTTTACATTGAGAATTCACTGCTTGACTCCAATGAAAAAAAAAAAACTGGCTAAGTCTTAGATATCCATCCTATATTGCATTCTAGAAGTTGCCCTTGTCAGACTGAGGGCTGCTGCCTCTGCTAACTTTAGCCTCTTGTTACAGCTTTCCTTGATCTGAGGCACAAAACTTTTATCTGCATGGCACAGGCAACGCAGGCGCCAGTTGCCATGCATCGCACTACTCCTTAAGGATCTGTCGCTTCTTCCTCGCGCGCCATTGGCAGTGCTTTTTCCTGCTCCTCGGTCCTGCGCCCTGACCTCACTTCGCCTGTCCCTCAAAGGCCTGACATTGTAATATTCTCCAGTAGGAGCTGACTATAATGAAAGCAAGGCAAGGCAAGATAACATCAGGATGATTATTGTACTATGTAGAAGCTAGATACAAGAGTCTAGTAGCAATGTTATAGTAGGTGTATATCTATGCAATAAGTAGTCACGTTATTATACTTGACACATACTCTACTTATACACAGGCCAATGCTACCACTATGTACTCCGCAAAATAGTTGGCCTGAAACTATATCATATTACATCATATCCATAACTATCATAAAACAAGACTTACTTAAGCTTTCATTACTAGCATTTAAGCTTAGGGCCTAATAGGCCCAAACAAATTAGTAGCATGTCTTGAAAATTCCAAGTCTAGATTAGACGCAGTGTTTTCAGGACCTCTGCTCCCCTGCTCTGCGTGGACGCCTGGCGCTGCTCGCTGCCTCGCGCCCCGATGCGATTCGACGTCGACTTGGCCACAACTCCCGCTCAGACGAGGCCAGTCACTTTGTTGTTTGATCTTCACCTTTTCCCTGTCTCTCTCTCTCTCTTTCACTCTATATACTCTTCATTTACCTCGCTGTTTGCATTATCTAGTTATCGTCACCACAGCAGTGCCTGCTTTCCCGATTTGGAAATCGGCTGGTCAGCGCCTTCACTGTTAACGCATTCCTGTACCACATTGTGTATACCCTGCTCTCGTCTACGTCAATTCCCCATCGGCCCGTCCATCCTGCATGCAGTATAATCCTTCTTGTGGCAATAAGAAATTCTCCTTGGGCAAGTTGCCCAGGAATTGAATTCTCCATAGCGCCCCTGGCGCGACGCTACGTAACTCGACCTTCTGGTACTCCCAACCCCACGATGCCGATTGATCGTGCCGCCGTTCGCAATGGCAGCATCTACGACGGTGCTACAGGGGCCAGTTGGGGTGGAGTGAGACAAAACGGCGCCGTCACAGAGGCTGTGTTCCTCTCGATTCTCTCTGAAATTCTGCTCGTTGCACCCGCGCCAGTCACTGTCACAGTGAGAGCTTCAGGGCGAACTGTCTTGCCGACAAACAACCCCCTTGAGCCTGGCGCATATGATGTTTATTGCAACGGCAGGTGTTGTGATCTTGAAATAAATTATGGCCAGTTTAACTAACTAGGATAGGCTCCATCGAACTCACCAACGAACCATGGGTACATCGGATCATGTCGCATAGTATATCGGGACGCGAGGACAGTTTCAGTGCTCAGGTACGCGCACGAGACGGAAAATGTGTCCTATCTGGCCTTCCAAACCTGAATGCGCTCTTTGGTGACTGGTCTGGCTTTGAGAGCGCCCACATTTTCCCGCTCGAGAAGGAAAACATTTGGTCTGAGGACAATTTCGGAAGATGGATAACTAATATGGACAATACGAATGGTGTCCCGAAGATCAACTCTTGTCAGAATGGTTTACTCCTGAGACGGGATCTTCACCAGAGCTTTGATAACTACTTAATCTCGGTGAACCCAGATGTGAGTGACTTTACAGAAGATATTTTCATTGTTCTATCCTAACATTTATTTGAAGGACGACTATAAGATTATAGTATTCAGTCTTGATACCTTTGGTCTCGATGGCAGAAGCCTAGACCCTGTATGTCGCAACCCAGCAGACCCGAACCATGTATCCGACGAGTTACTTAGGTGGCATTTCCGGCAATCGGTACTTGCGAACATGAGAGGAGCTGGCGAGCCTATCTTCGAACACGACTTCCCGACAGGAACTGATATCATGACGGAGATCCGGGAAGGGCCTTATGCGAAGGAAAGGTTCGAGATGGAACTTTCTTCGAGGTTGCGTGCATTCGATGTTTGATGCGAACCGGGGGATCGTGTCGAAGTCGTTGAAGAAGAATGTGTTATGGCTGTACAGGAGGCCAATCCACGGGGTTATGATGTTATATTACGGAACAGTATGGGTTTACAGTTTTTTTTTTCTTCAACCCCCTTCAAAAGTGTACACACACAATGCAATACAGTTCTTACTTAAATGCCATATCAGCCTAGACGTGTATAATGAGTAAGAAAAAAAAAGACGTATCTAAGAAACCGTAGAACAGATATGTATTAGTGATTCAAATGACAATGCGACAGAGGATATCATTGTGGGTATCTAGGCAGCTATCTAAAAGGTGATAGAAGCCTCTGGGGCGGTTTGAAGTACAAAAAAAGAAAGAAAGAAAACTAATTACATCTCACGAATGGAGGAGTCAGGTCTGATTCTCCAACCGGGCCAGTCTCGTCTCTAGGTCCTTGACCCACGGGCTGATAACGTCAATATTCTTCTTCATGGCTGCCTCGCTCTCCTTCACCTTCTCCTCTACAACCCGCAGTCCCTCGCGCCACTGCTCGATCTCCTTGCTCAGCTCCGCCTGGTCTTTCTCCAGGGCGTCAAGCGTCTCGCTGGCCTGGGCGGCACCGGCGTGGATCGCCCGCAGGGACCGCAGTCGCTCCAGCACGCTGGGGAGAAGTGGATGGAGGGACTGGATGGTGGGCAGCGTCGCGTACAGGGCCTGGATCTTGGCAGCTTGTTCGTCGCGCTGCGTGGACGCAGGGTCGGCGACCTCGGTTGCGTTGGACGAGGATGCCGACAGATCTGAGGGGAGATCGGCTTGGACCTTCGCTGCATTTGCGGCTTTGGCAGCGTCCATGGCGCGCTTGCGTGAATTCGCCAAGGCATCCGCATCGGCCGTGAGCTTCTTGATTCGCGCCGTCAGAGCCTCGATCTGAGGTGTCGTTCCCGCCGTGGTCGCGGGCCCCGAGCCGGTCGTGGGAACAGCGGGCGCTGGTGCAGGACCACCCAGGGTGCTGGTCAGGGCAGACAGTCGAGATGTGAGGTGCTCGAGTGCTGGCAGGACAGGCTGAAGCGGTGGTTCCGAGTTGCCCTCGCCTATGAACGGATTGGATGACGTCGAGATGCCCAGCGCTGCTTCGACGAGAGCCAGGCGAGCATCAAAAGAAGCGGCATGTGCAAGAAGGCCTGAAGGTGTAGAGGTTGCCGCGGGGCTGTCATTGTGTTCTGACGTGCTGTTGTTCTTGTCCTGGGACCCAGCCCCAACCGGTTGTGAGGTAGCTGCCAACTTCTGCGAGAGGATTGTATCTGCAGTTATCGCATTCCCTGAAGCACCACGCGTTGAGGCATGGATGTTGTCCAGCGCTCGGCTCAGTTCCTCCAAGCCGTCTCCGACATCCGCTTCGTTCTCCGGCTGTTGTTGATCGGCCTTTGTCGACTGCTGCTCCTTGCGCCGCGCAAGCTCCTCCTTCAGCTCCTCCGCCTCTCTCCGCAGACGGGCCAGCTTCCGTTCAAAGGTCTCTTCTTCGCTGTCGCTGAGATCCCCCACCTCCTCCGTTCCGTCGGCGCGTCTGCGCGTCCGCAGGGTCTTGGTCCTGTACGATTTGCGCTTCGTAGCGATGGTATCGGAAAAGTCGACATCTCGAGTATCGACGCTGGCCCGAAGGAAATGTAAGCGCGCCTCCTCGGCATTGAGACCGTTGCGGTCGATGTCCGGGTTCGAGGGGACCTCGTCGTCGGAGTCGTTGGTGCGGACAGTGGCTGTCTGTCAAGCTGTTAGGAGCCAATCGAAGTGAATTCAAGTATAACATAAGCGAACCGGGACTGTCGACCCTCCGTCCGTCAGATCTGGCGTTTCGTAGACATCTGGCGCGAGGTCCTATTCGTAGCAATGAAGGGTATCCGTTAGCGCAATCAAATCAATCTTGGACTGTGGTCGGTGATGGTCTGCAGCAAACAAACAGCAACACCCACCAGATCTGGAAGATTGGCATATTTCTTGTTCAGCGACATGTCTGTCTGGTGCCCCTGACTTGGACTCCTGTCGTTTCTGTGCTGGTGTGACGGTCAGGAGCAGCAGCAATCCGGCGTGTTGATGCGGTAAGATCTGGCGGTTGTTTAGTTAGTTCGGGACCCGCCAGGGGTTAGTTTCTATACTGCACGTCAGTACAGAGTACGCCGAATACAATTGATATCTTTCTCTCTTCCTTAAAATGATTTTAACACAAAAGAGAACTATAATATTGGTGGAAATTCAAATTAAAATAAATTGACTGCCAAGACACTAAAGCTCATCATCAATGAATTCTACTCCGTATGCTCATGCTTTTTATTCAGGGTCCTCCGTCAGAATTCACAATATGAAGTCAGAAAGTTGGCCATTTCTACCTGCACTTGCCATTCTATACCGAGAAGAGGTTGGGTAGGGTGCCAGTGTCAGCTCAGCTCAACTCCCCATCCAGCCAGGCTGCATCAGGCAGTCGGGTAGAGTGACGTTTCACTGTTCTCCCTCTAAGCCTGAGTCTTGTTCTCTCATACAATCTCCAACTAACCTGAATGACTTCCATTGAGGCGTTTCCCTATCACCTTCGGGCAGAGGTCCACCATACAAGCGAGAGACTAATATGGATAAGTGGCGTGTATCCCCGCATTACTCCTTGTATGTCGCAACCTCGCAAAGCTTCTAACACCGCGCTAACTGATATTAAGCGATGGTTATCACACGCGGCACGGTCAGAACTCCGTAACACAATGTGTGGGGGACGGACTCCCCACATTGATATCTTACCAGGACACCGGTCTGTCCTTGCTCAGCTATCTCGTCCAGGAGAGATATGTCAAAGATATAAAAGACGTCTGGTAGCCATTACGCTGCGTTCTATTCCTGTGCTGTCAGCGAGTGTATATATACGATTGCGACTTTTCTAAGACGAACACAATGGCTCAATCCGGAGAGATCAATCCAGTCCCTGCACCTCCATTGAATGCGCCGGCCTCATCGAATACATGTGAGCTCTGGGCCATTGATGCGACCACCGATATTCTCGTCCCTACCGTCTCATTGATCGAGCCCGAAATCAAAGGCCATGAATTCCTCAACCTGCCCACCTTTGCTTTCTACATCCACAACCCCCGACTCAACAAGCGCGTTCTCTTCGACAATGGGGCGCGCAAGGACTGGTGGAATGTTCCTCCTCGTGTCTTCCATAACCTCAAGACCAAAGGAGTGGCTGGCATCCGGACCACCTACGATGTCTATGACATCCTCGCCGCTGGAGGAGTTGACCCCAAGACGATCGACGCTGTCGTCTGGAGTCATTTCCACTGGGACCACGTGGGGAATATCCAGCTGTTTCCCAAATCCACCGATATCGTCGTGGGGCCTGGCTTCAAGAAAGCCTTCTTACCGGGCTACCCAGCTGATCCAAAATCGCCGTTCTACGAGGCCGACTTTGAGGGCCGCAATCTCCGCGAGATCAAATTCGACGATTCTCTGAAGATTGGCAAATTCCAGGCTTACGACTACTTCGGCGACGGAAGCTTCTACATTCTCAACACCCCTGGACACACAATCGGACATATCTCAGGCCTGGTCCGCACGACTCCTGACACCTTTGTCTTCCTGGGGGGTGACATCTCCCATTTTCCGGGCACGTACCGGCCCACGCAGTATGTTCCCCTACCAGAGGTGCTTCCTGCGGAGACGAAGCTGGACGCGAGATTTTCCCTGCCCTGCGCCTGCTCTCTCTTCACTGCATGCCATCCGAACCCGTCGACCGCGCGGACAACGCCTTACTACCACGTGTCCCAGCATCAGGACTCGTGGTACGATGACCCCCAGCAGGCGCAGAAGTCGATCGACGGCCTGATGGAATTCGATGCGAGCGAGAACGTGTTCGTGGCCATCGCCCACGACCCTGCGCTGCGAGAGGTCTGTGAACTGTTTCCGCACGCTACCTTGAACGAGTGGAAAGCGAAGGGCTGGGCACGGCGATCGCACTGGCATTTTGTGAACGAGTTACCTATCGACGGGAAGCCAGGACGCCCGAAGCTTGTAGAGGGATTGCTCAAAGATGGGAAGCCCGTCGAATAGGGTGCGAAAGCAGCAGATCGGAAGTGAGAAGTGTATCAAATTGGATATATTGTTGCTTTCATAAATAAAATAATTCCAGCACTTTTTAATCTGTTAGTATATCTAGTATTTTAATCTTGTATAAATGAAATTTAAATAATCTCCTTTACTAGACAACAATAAAACTGAAAAAAAAAATCTACTATTGTCATCTGGCTATTCATGCACAGCCAACCCCTTGTAGTAAACAGGAAAATTATCAGGTAAGCATGGTCAAGCGGGGATTTGTATATTTATAATAACTTAAAAGAAGAAGCATGAGTCCAGATTCCAATTAGATGTACAAGCCTTCAATTCCCTGGGCAGCTTGAAAAGGGAGCTAATTACATTATAGGCATTATATAACTATAAACTGTAGCCTATAAATATTAATAAACCTGCTATAGCCAGCAATAAGAATAATAATAATTATAACTCACATTTTATAATTAAATTTATTGCAAGTTATAATCTATAGTGACTAATAGATTATAAAAGTAAATATAAAAAATGCTAGCTTTATAGATTTTATAGACTTTTATAACTAAAAATAACTATTTTCCTCAAAAGTCACCACTGCAGCCCCTCGATCTGCTCCATACTCCTCTGTCTACCCCTTCCACCCCTCAAAGCGCGCTCGCCATAATCCTCACCCCCTTCGAATCCAGCTTCGGCATCGCAACCTGATAACCATGCATAAATGCCACATCACTCTCATCCGTCTGCCACAATCTCATTTCAAACGCCTTTACCAGCGCCGCTGTCACGAGATACAGCTCAGCGCGCGCCAGGTCGATGCCCAAGCATTTGCGCCCGCTTTTGCCGAACGCCATCTGGAACTTACGGCGCTCGCGGCCCGCGTCGCCAAGCCAGCGCTCCGGGTCGAAGACGAAGGGCTCTGGGAAGATGCATTCAGCGGTGTGCGAGCTCAGGGTGGTTATACTAATGGGTGTGCCCGGGGGGATCGTGTAAGATCTGCCGGGGCTGGATGGGGAGGTGACGTAAGAGGACGGGGTGTAGGTGAGTTGCTCATGCGCGATACGGGCTGTTCGGGCAGTGACGCCGAAGGAGAGGCGGTTGCCTTCCTCGATGACTGCTGAGAGGTAAGGGAGTTGCTCGAGCTGGGTCCAGGAAGCGGGTGTCGGGACTGCGCTGAGTTCGGTGCGAAGCTTGCTGAGGATCGAGGGATTGGCGAGAAGGTGGTAAAAGATGATATTGAGGGATTTAGCTGGTGATTCGGTTCCGGCGAGGACTAGGAGTGCTCCCTCCTGCTGGAGACGTAGTAAAGACTTCTCCGATGATGGTAAGACGGGACTGTCAAGTACAGAGTCGTACACTGACTCTTTACCTGTTGGGCCCGGCGGCTTTCCACCGGAAATTCCAGACGATTTAGCTTTCATGATGCCGACCAGCTCGGCACGAACTCTCTGCATCGCTCTGTCAACAATGATGCATTGCTTGGTGATTAAGTCGGGGAACTCACATCAAATAATGCCAGCATGTCGATCAGCCCGGGCGGCATCATTGGCTTGCTTATTGATAGCGGAAGAGACTCGAGGAAGTCAGGAAGCCAGGGGAAGTGCTTGTTGATGTTGATTCCCATTAGAAGCTCATAGCTATTGTGGCGGAGTGTAGCAGCCTTTGTCTCATCCGCAAGAATGTCGGTCTGATGTGCGAATAAGAAGTTCGTGACGACACTGTCTTCTATGAGCATTATGCCGCCTCTATAGTATCAAATTCATACTCATTGGAAAACGCAAAGAATGCACCAGATAGATTGATTGGCGTCTTTTCGGCCGCATGTTTCGCGATCAACTGACACAATTGTTCGACCTTCTTCGTGATCAAGGGTTCCAGATAGAGGACATTGCGTTTGCTGAAGAAGGGGCTGAGGGCTTCATGACGCCTTTTATGAACATCGTAACGTGCCGTCGTGCCTACGCCACCAGGAACTCGCAAGGTCCTCAGTTGGTAGTCATACTTGTCTCTGCGTGACAGTGACGGCGCATATACCGTGTCTAGGAAGCCGACAACGTTGACGTGGATTTCGTCTGGAGTGACACGGATGATTGGACCTAAGCAGATATTCCGTGATCAGTCAGGATGTCCCATCATACTAGTAGGAGTGCTTAAACTGCTGAGATCTACCGTATTCCTTGTGAAGCTCCTGAATCTTGAAGACATATCTGCCTTGCTGAATGGCATCAAAATAGAACTCGTACCACCAGGTCAGTGCTGCAAGCCTTGGTCCTGGTATGTGGGCCAAGGGATGGAAGTAGAGCCGACGGATGGCTCCAGCAACGGTCAACAGCAACGACAAGACCACTGTTGTCTCTATAGGAATAATTTGCACAACGTCAACGGAGTACCTCGGTCTCTTGACAGACGTCAAGCACTCGGAATCAGTTATCTGCCTGGTCCTCCACGACGGTGTAACCAACAACCTTGGAATCTGCGCCGCAATCCACAATCTCAGCCGCATTCAATGGCTCAATACATTACACGGCTGACCACCTTCACAAAGCCCCCTACATGCGACCATCACCGACCAGAGGCGATCGCATCCTGAAATAGTAAGCGCGGCTGCAGGTGACAGGCTGAGCTGAAGCAAATGTCTTCCTGCGGACTGGAGGGCTACTAACACCATCGAGCTGGAACCTCGACAAAGTACTCGGATGATCTGACATGCCCCATGTTGTTGGGTCGGATGATACTCGAGATGTTGTTCATGCTTGCCTGCGTGGCTATCTATAATGCACCAAAGCCAAATAAACAGTCTGTGAAAACCAAACCACTGTTGGGTTTGACTAGATGCGCAGTATTTCAAGAGACGCCGCAATTGGCTTTGTAAACTGTCACTGTTAGCTTCACCTTGACCTCATGCTTCATGCCACTTAGCCTTTTTGTGGGCCGGCCTGTATGTCTCAAATACTCACCGTTGATTTTCTGTAAACTTGTGGAACACAAGCATTCCAGGACAAGGTCTGTCTCCCTCTCTTTTTGGTGCTGGCCCACTGTGAATATCCAAGATGTTTATTTCCATGTCCTCTAGTGCAATCACTTCCAGTATTTGCCGTCAATCCAACCTGAACCCAGCTGGGGAAACAGCAGTGATCATGTCCAGCGTCTCAAGTATTAACGAGAATCTGAAGACTCCTGTGGGCAATAATATTGGGAAGTACCATTTAGGCAGTGCCAGCAGCAAAGACAACTCTTTGGATGTTGACCACAAGAAGCGCGTGGTTGAGCGATGGCTGCTGAATCTTTGTCAGGAGTTATCAGCCAGTTAATATGCTATGGAATTTGAACAGGTCATCAGGTACCTGAACTGGAATGAATCTGCTTCTATGGCTTTCTTTGAAGGTGGCCTCAAGGAAGATATCAAGGATATTCTGTGCATGAAGGAAAGACTAAGCACCTTACAAGCTCTCATGGAGGAGGCCGTCAAGATTGATAGCCGACTACATAAGAGAGGACTGGAGCCTCCCGACTCACCCACTCAAGGTGATTTGCTCACCCAGCTTCATTTATTTATACTCACCCTACTGTAGTTACCACTACAATGCAATCACTACTCAGACTTGACTTCACTTCTGCTTCCAGATCTGACTCTATTTATCTCTTTACCGACGTCACGGCCTGATCGGCCACGACACACTCTCTGATGTCTTGGGACTGATGGAGGAAAACACGATGACCTCCTTCCTCCTTAGAATCTACATTTTAGAGCTGCTTCCATCAAAACATACAGAACGTGCCTTCTAATGTCGATAGTTTCCCAGGTACAATGTACATATCTCTTTGAGTTTCTCTTCTTTTACTTTTCTTCCTTAATCATCACATTCATTATTTAATGATCGTTAACATCAAACAATCATCACTTTACTTCTCATCAATACTTCTACTCCAATCTTTTCTCTATTTTTTTTAAAAAAAATGGAGTTGTTCACGGGTGTACATGGATGGGCTATACTGGTTGCCATCCCATTGTCTTTATATGCAGGCTTATTTATGAGCTTATTATGGTCCCAATATGGCTCTTTGAAGCAAACAAGGCCAAGAAGTACGATGATTTCTGACTTTTATTTTCTCTTGAATATTTATCTTATAGATAAAATACTGCCCTATTATCTTAGAAGAGGCTTACAAAGAGCTGTGACAATTGCCATGCTTGATCAGACGACCGCACCATTTACCAACATACAGGCCAGCCCTAGGTAACTATCTTACAAGACCTATCTCAGAATTCAATTGCTGATTGACATCTTCAGTGGTTGGTCTGGTCTCCAGAAAAAGAGTGTTGGAAGGCAAGTATCAACATGCCTCTCCCCAAACCCATAACCGCCTTTCAAATCTGACAGATTAGCCTCTAACCAGCATACTCCATGCTTGGTCCTCATCGCGTCGATCATCATGATGAACAGCAACACCGACATCTCGAGGTCAAATATACGTGTTCATGCCAGCGCTTTCAAGAAGAACTGGAGGAGCGCGTCTCAGGCCTGTCATAGTCATCTTTCTCTGCCGCTACGACTTCTATTTGCTTCGTCTCGCCTGCTTTCGCGTGTTCCAGAACTGATTGCAAATAAGATATACCCGCCATTGATCTGCGCTGCTCGAGAAGGCTGCATAAACTGCATCAGTGATTATTATGTATTTTATGTATTTCTCTTTTGTTGACAAGAAGCCTCCGGAAAGCTGTTGGAACTGCTATGAAGGTGGTCTTGGCTATAAAAGACGTAAGTATCTCTTCTGTATTTACTGTAATACTCAAGTCTACCTCTTAAAGCTTACTTGCACTGAACCAGAACAATATCCTTAATCCTTACAATATACGCACTGGATAACGTGTCACTTCTTGGATGTCATGTAATTCCTAAGCGAGAATTCCACGAAAGCAATTTAACCCTCCCCGCCCGGTCAAAAAGAACCTATTCTAAGTAAGATAAAGCATACACTGCCTCTGTACCTCATTCACAGTCCCAGCTTGCTTCCTGCCGTATCGTTTATTAACGGACTCGGTGAACCCTGGGTTGAGCTTCGAAAATCCCCTAGACTTCACACAACATTGACAATAATAGGTCGAACAATGCCCATATATGGGTTTGACTTTCTTCTTATTTTTGAGAAACCTTAACTGACCGGGACTTGTCGGTTCAGGATACGTTCCCAATAGCTTCTCACAACATCCACTATCCCGTCCACAACAGCCCCCTTTAGCTGCGCAGGCTTTCTGTTCTTCAACCCATGCCAATGTCATCTTACCTCGTTTCCGGCGTCTCTTCAACTCCCATTCCCGGATATAGGGACCTTTGGGTTTTTCGGAAACCAGCTGCCCTAGCGCCACCTGATGGAGCCAGTATGCCTGGTGGAGTTCGCTGAGCTTCTTTTCATAATCCTTCTTCAGTTCAGCAAGGTCCTTTGGGCTTTCGCTTTTGATCTCCGGTTGCTCTTCTTCTCCCTGTACACTTCCCAGAATTACATCAGGGACTTTCCCTGTCAGATATAAGATCTGCTGTTCTTCTTCTGCGGCGATCATGTATTGGAGGATGGCAACGCCAGTCTTCTCTTCCTTGGTGTATATTGAAATCCACTTCTTCTCATCCACATCTGAGAAGTCCCAAAATTTATTAGATTGCGCGAAAGGGAACCGCTAAACAGTCACAGTGAATCCCGACCAGGAGCTGTTCGAGAATTTTGAGCATTTTGACAGATGCCTACCAGTATGGTAGGTGTGAAGGTTTCTGATGAATTGTTCTCCTTTTTTTTAAAAAAAAAGCAGTCGAGATAATAATGAGTAGGGGCCAGAAAAGCAGTCTTGGGCTGAGAACCTGCAACATGGCAATTTGACAGGAAAACCAAAGGAATTGCAAGTCTTAGGAGGTAGGAGATGAAGTCGAGAGTGATGTGTATTCTCTTAATTTTTTTCGAGTCGAAGGGTACCTTAATCTAATATATATATGTGTGTTAAGAGACCGGAGTTGATGACATGATGATGGCTCCATGCCGCTTTCATGGCCAAAAAATGAGTTAGATTTGTATAAAAATAATAGATCCTGTCCAACCGGTGGGCCCTCGTTGCCTGATGGAGTCTCCTGCCTACCACGGATCCAAATCTGTTCTACATATCAAAACTTCAGTATGAGCATTGGCTTTTACCAAGTCAATGACGAAAATGAACATGTGGATAGGTAGATATTTCGGAGATCAATACTGACCTTTTCTGTGCCAAATAAAGTAGGCAGCAAACAACTTCTGCCTGAATTTTTGGATCACATGACGACAATTACTCTATTTAGTTGACCTCTTACTTACTGTTAATACAAAGGGAATGTTCGCCCAGTACTTCGCTCTCTTCTACCTGCAAGGCCATCTGCAAGCAAAAATATAGCCTGCATATGACACATGCACGTGCTTATTAAACCGCATCAATGATATGTTGTTGCCTCTGTACTTGCAGGAGAAGAAGATGGAAATCACGTGCAGGGCGATAAAGATGTAGACGCGGGCAGGAAGGAGCCGCGGAGTGCCTGCACGGGGTAGACTAACAGACTAATAATAAGTCACAGCGATGAAGGCTGGCGGGGTTGGCTGCGAACCAACTGCCCAGCTAGGCAGGCTCGGAGATGGATCACTTGAGGCCGTGGGGCGAGCCTGCCGTTTCGGGAGCTCCCTTGCACATGTCTGCAAGGCGCTGCCTCGGAAGATCTGAAGCTTGCCTGGTTTGTGTTCCCCGCCTGATAACCATAACAGTACATAATAGTTAATGTTAGTAAACCACCAACATTGCTACTATTCTTCTCGTCTGCAGGAACAATTAATTCTTAACTTCCCTTCTTTCCCTTCGTCGCTATAATAGCTGCAGCCGTTTTCGTCCCCCGAACAGAAATACAACGATCCTTATATTATTCTACGCCATCCTATACCCCGCCTCCAGAGCAGTTCAGCCCCTCCTTTTCTAAAACCAGGCATCATGGCTGCCCCCGCAGATGTCACCATTCAAAACCTGAGTGGCGTTTTTTCAATGGTAAATACAATGCTCTTCTTCAGAATGAATGACATTGAATGTCATGGAGGATGGTTCCTCTTTACTGCCGTACGAATGTGACTTGCTGATAATGATTCCTTCGGAGTACAGGACAAAGCCAACTCCACGGATCCAGACGCAATTCTGCAGCTGGTATGTTCAATTTCAGTTTCAACCCATTCCAGCTACACATAGCTGGAAAATGCCTGTCACCTTCAATGATGGACATGCCAATATGCTCTCCATTGATGGCGGGAGCCTTTTCACTTTCATCATAAACGCTGGGAGCTCACCCCTGGCCCGCCCCCATGCCGTGTTATGAATTGAACGTGCCGGCTTTGTGGAAAATACCTAATCCGAATTATAGCAAGGAATCAGCTGGATCGTCCGCAAAGCCATCCAATATGCGACCGTCACCCTCCACGTCACCCAGTACACTGAGACCGATCCCGAAACGTCGAAGCCCGTTGTCAAGATTGACATTTCCCAGGTCACGACGGGTGGTCTGAGCGGCACGACTGAGAAGCGTGTCATGAACTGGACGGAGAGGGAGCACAAGGACCACATCTTCGGCACCGTTGTTGGAAAGAGCCGCTTTTTCCGCGGATCCAAGGGCGCTGACGGCAAAGTGCGGCCGAACGTCGACGTGCAGACGAATGTCCAAGATGAGAAGGTCCGCAGGTTCCTGAGAGGCGAGATCCTCGCCGATGGAACCGAAGTGGAGGGTTTTCTGGTTGAGGAGCCTACCGGTGATGACCTGGGCGAGGGCGAGGGGCTCTGGCTGCAGAGCTTTGTGCGCAACGTGGACAGCGGCTGGACCGCTGAGCAGGTAAGTATCGTATCTTTATCGACTATTATTTCCACATCATGTCCTCTCTACCGTTCCGTCTCTTGGTTACATCGAAGCTAACGGTCAACCCTAGATCTGGGGCTTCGAAATTGTCAATGGCGAACGCCGCTACACTCGCCGTATCGCCGTTGCAGACAAAAACGGAAACTACCAACTGGGCCGGATGGTCTACTCCTTCCAGGGACGCAAGGAGCAGTGAAGGATATGCCTATCTCTATCAATTCGTCCTGTATTTTCCCGTGCTATGAGCATCAAGTTAGAAGGACGTTTGTCCTGGAACTTCCCTCAGGGTCATTCGTCATGCCGGATTAGTTTCTTGCACTCAAGATCCTAGAAGTCCAATGACTTTATCCGTAGAATGATTCCCACGAAGCAATTCATTCAACATCATTTCTTCCAAGTAAGAAAAATTCTGGCTATATTTAATATCAGGGGGAAGTACTTAGAGGATATGGTTTGATTCTCGATAATTCCTCGGCTTAGTTACGCGGTCACCAATCAACGACTAAGTCCGATTCTCTCCTGTCATCGTAGTCAAGTTAATTACACATAGAAGAGATCGAGCCACTTCCGCCATACCTTTCCCCCTGTCAAGCTCAGACAGTGTTACAATGTTAGGAAGTCCCATCCCATCCGGCTCATCCTCATGCGGAGGAAAAAGAGGTCAGTCAGTCAGTAAGAATGCCTACCCACCAAGGTCCTTACCCTTGTCGTTTTACCTATTCATCATCCCTCTTAGGTTATGGACAACAAAAAAAAACGCAATGCAAGAACAAGAAGGAACGAACGAATAATCTGGAAATATTCGTAATAATGGTTAACTAAATTAACCACCTGCATACTAACTACTACAATACAGTACTTAGACATATGGGACAACAGAATTCGTTGATTTGATTGCTTCGTTTTGCCTGGAAATCGATCCATCGCGAATTCAGAGAAACATATACCGGAAGAGGACCGGAGGAGGACGAGGCAAGGGAGATAAAACAAATTCATTGTATTTTTTTTCTTTGGAATATATATTTCATAGGATTTTTGAACCGCCTTTCCTTTCCGTTCGTTTTTGTTCTTTTTGTTCTCTTCTTTTGTTGTTTTTTTTTTACGACTGCGTCGGCATAACGACGCTAGCTTTGCTGTGAGTGGCGTCCTCGCTGCGCCAGAGACTCGTCACCGTCTTCTGCTGCGTGTAGAACTGCAGACCGGGCTTGCCGTAGAAGGTGTTGGCACCGCCACCAGCGACACTCTTCTTGTTACCGGTGAAGGAGAACATGGGCAGCGGCACGGGGATGGGCACGTTGATGCCCACCTGGCCCGCCTCGATGTCCTTCTGGAACCGCGCCGCGCTGGAGCCGGAGCGGGTGAAGATCGCGGCGCCGTTGCCGTACGGGTTCCTGTTGATGAGCGCGATGGCGTCGTCAAGCGTGGGGACGTTCAGGCAGACCAGCACGGGCCCAAAAATCTCCTCCTTGTAACATGTCATCTCCGGGGTGACGTTGGTGATGATGGTGGGAGCGACCTGCATTGGATTGCAAACGTTAGGACTACCCAAAGCTGTGTCCAAGAAAAGAACTACTCACAAAGTTGCCATTAGGATACTTCTCCGGCTTGTATCCACGTCCATCAAGGAGGATCTTGGCCCCTTCCTTCTCCGCGCTAGCGATGATATCCTCGATCCGCTTCTTGCTCTGCGGGCTGATGACAGGACCAAGATCGGCACCCTCTTCAAACCCTCCAGTCACCTTGAGCTTCTTCGCTCGTTCCGCGAGCTCTGGCAGCCATTCCTCGGTCTCCCCCACCGTGACCAGCGTGCTGAGAGCCATGCATCGCTGACCGGCCGCGCCAAAGGCAGCCCCAGCAATTGCATTCAGAGCGTGGTTCTTGTTGCTGTCCGGCAGGAGAGCAGCATGGTTCTTGGCTCCCAGGTTGGCCTGCACCCGCTTGCCGTTGGCGGAGGCACGAGTGTAGATGTATTCACCAGCGCGGTTACCGCCGACAAAGCTGATGGCCTTGATGGCGGGCTCGTCGAGGAGAAAGTCTACCGTCTTGGTTGTTCCGTGGATGATGTTGATCACACCGGGCGGGAAGCCTGCTTCCCGGGCCAGTTCTGCGAGGATCATAGCAGCTCCCGGGTCACGCTCAGAAGGCTTGACAATGATACAGTTTCCGGTAACGGTAGCAATCGGAATACACCACAGAGGGATCATGGCAGGGAAATCTGAGGGAGAGCATTTAGTCAGTTTCGGTGTCATAAAATTTACACGGTGCAAACTGATTTGTGGCGGCCTTACTGAAAGGGCAAATGGCTGCAACCACACCCAACGGCTCTCGATAGCTTCGAGTCTCCATGTCCTTGGCCACTTCGAGGACCTCACCCGTGATCTGGGTGGTGATGCCACAGGCGGTCTCGGCGACCTGTAAGCCGCGAAGCACATCGCCCTTGGCATCTGCAAAGGTTTTACCCTGTTCCAGGGTAATCGAAGCAGCTAGACGGTCCCAATGGGCGCGAATGAGCTGGACGAACTTGAAGAGTATCTGCTGCCTGGTGATGATGCTGGTTGCCCGCCATGCGGGGAAGGCCTTCTCTGCGGACTCGACGGCGGCACGCAGCTCCTCGTCAGTGCTCTGAGGAACGCGGGTCACCAGATTATTCGTGGCTGGGTCATGCACGTCAATCCAGGTGGTCGCCTTGGAAGGCACAAACTCATTATCGATGAAGTTGGTAGTGTCCAGTGGGTTCTCAATGCGCTCGTGCGTGGTAGGATAGTTAGTGGGGGTAGAGGCAGCAGAAGTGGTCGCAGCAACCAGCTGGCGAGCAGTTGCATGGAGTTGACGGGAGGCGATGAGGGCAGGAGCTCGTGAGGAGGACGAGGAGACATGTGATGTTGCAGTTGCGGCTGTTACTGCGGGCCTGGATCTGAGAACAGTGCGGGGAGAAGCCGTGTGGAGAGCGGGGATTGCCCGGGCAAGGGAGCGACGGGCCGCCATGATGGAGGGAGAATTGAGAGAGAGGAGAGAAAAGAGAAGGAGGGCACAAGGACGACAGAACGACAAGGGAAGAGATGGCCTGCCTTGCGTGAGGCTCAAGGAGGCAGATCAGTGACCTGGGGAATGCAAGAATGCGGTGGACAATCGCCTCTTAAGAGGCGTTGCTAGTTCTCCGTACTCCGTAGCTAACCCAGCACGCAGCAACCTTACTCGCCCGAGTGGGCAATCGGCCAACTGCCCGAGGACCCGCGGGCCTCGGTGGGCGCTGACTGGCCGCCGTCGCCGAGGTGTCGATAACCAATCAGAAGCGGTGCAGTGTCCTATAGATCTCGCCTGATAAACAACGGACAAGGGACAATGATAACAATAATTAGACATTGTTAACAATTACCAGTGATTTCTATCACCTTGAGATCAATCAGACATAACATTTTCATGGGACAATAGCTGAGAATTACTTAGGTGAGGCAGCCCCTGGACACTCAACGCTTTCCTCTCTGAGTGGAGAGGGGGGCTCACTTCCGACGATAAGCGCCGGCATCTTATCCAGGGCCTCTATCCCATACACCCATGGGAATTCATTCCATCCTAACAATTCAATTGCTCCACGAATGTAATGCTGAGGCGACTAATCAATACAGAAATTTAGTAGCAGCAGGAAGCAGAAACACAGAAACAAGCTCGCGCTGAACGCCCCCGTGGGCCTGTGACAGCCCAGATACCAGAACTAAGTAAGAAAAGAAAATGTGTGCCTTTTCTCTCCACCACAATCTCATGACTACTTTTACATATGCCGTCATCTACGCCCAGGTAGATTGGGGGATGATCAACCCATTCTTTCTAGCGTTTTCCCCGGGACAGTAGGCTCTAGCAGAACTTTTCTGGTACCTTTTCCTCGACTCAAATGTCCGCGTCCTCTCTTACTCGGAAGAAGACTTGGTGTTCCGCTTGGTCGCTCCGCTCTTGGTGTCTGCGGAGGAGCTGACACCCTCCGCCGACTTCTCCTTCGCAGCGCTGGCTGCCTCCTTGCCCTTCTGGGCAGCTCCCTTTCCGGCCGGAGCCGGGCTGCTGGCGCTGATGGCACCCACGATGAACAGAATCGTGGCAAGCAGGATGGCGCCCAGGCCGCCTGCGACCTCAGGAACCAGCTTCACCGCCTGGATAGGGTTCTGCTTGGCCTCGGTGACAAAGAGATCGACCTTCTCACGGATGTAGGTGAGCGGGGCCTCCTTGAACGAGACACTGGTCTGGGCCTTGTCTACAGGCTTAGGCTTCTGCGCCTCCTCCTCAGCAAGTTCGATGGGCTTCTTGACGTCGAAGGTCTCCTTACGGAACGCCTCCGCGTCCTCGACCGAGTGGCCGATGTAGATGTTGTCAAACAGAATGTCGTTCTGCATGGTCCAGATCTCGAAACCAACCTGTCATTTGCTCGTTAGGATCCATCGGAATTCTCTCTCTGATAGACATGGTTGGCAACTTACAGCACCGATGGGCTCAAAGTTGGCCGGCGTTTTGTCCTCGAAGTAGTTAGGGTTGGGGATCTTGCGAGGCGCCCATGGTCCTTTGTAGGCCGGGTTGTCGATCAACGGCGGAGTCCACTTGCCCTTGTACGCGGGGTTCCTCTTCATCGGGGGCTTCCAAGGACCGCATCCCGAGACCTCGCTACACTTGGGGTTGGGGATGCTGGGAGGGATCCAGTCACCGTCCTCCTCGTCGTCCCAGTCCTCGGGCTTCTCCGCCTCCGGATCAGGGATGGTAGTGGGCTCATCCTCCAGCCAGTCGTCAGGCTTGGTGGCCTCCTCGTCGACAATCTCGTACGGGGCGTCCTCATCCCAGTCATCAGGCTTCTTGGCATTAGGGTCGGGGATCTTGGGCTCATCCACCCAGTCATCCGGCTTCTTGTCCTTGGGGTCATCGATCTCCTTGGGAGGGTTGACGGGCGGAGTGAAGTCCTCCAAGAGGGTACCATTCTTCGCAGATTCACCATCAATGAGGATCTCGAAGGTCTGGTCAGGCCTGACAATGAGCGTGTACAGAGTCGTCAACTTGGTAGTACGGGCAGCTGGAGGTGCCTTCAGATGCTTCTCCTCGTACTCGCCCGTCTTGGGGTTCTTGTGCCTGAAGATGAAGTGGACCTGTCAGACCGGTCAGCTCTGTTCACATTCCAACTGACGATGAGAGAAAGGTCGCACCTTGTTGGTAGCTCCACACTTGTCGGGACCGAACATGATGACATATGGAGTAGCATTGGAGAACTCCTCAGCGTGAAGCTTCTTGTTATCCTGGAGAAGCTTCATGTAGGCACCACCGCAGACCAGAGAGTCTTGCCAGGCGCACTAGTTAGCAATAGCCTACAGCTAATGGAGGTGGGTATCGCGTACTCTGCAGCTTGACCTCGTACTGGACGACCAGAGTCTTGCCCTTGTTGTCAAGCTTCTTGGGGAATTTGGCCGAAATGGCGTGGTGAGCAGCAGCGTTCTTCACCACCAGACCCTTGTCCCCTTCAATGCCCTTAAAGACAGTGGGCTCCTCAACAGCCCACTCGCCAACGTAGGCCCAGTCCTCATCAGACTTGGAGTCCTGCTTTTTGGCGTGGGAAGGAGTCCATCGGCGATCCCAGTCATCGGTGAACTGCTCCAGGAAAGGAGCTTTGATGGTGGTGGGCTGGTGGTAGGTACGTCTGGTCAGCGAGTGATCTCCAGCCGCCTCAAGACAGACAGTGAGAGCAAAAGAGCTCCACGACATACCGTGAAGGTGGGACGCGCAATGCCCGTGGAGGTCGCATCTGGGGCAGCCTCCGACTCGTCCGCATGGACGTAGCCCAGCAGCGTCGCCGAAGAGAAAATGGCCGAAGCCAGGGCAGCGTTGAGACGCATGGTGGCAGACGGCGCTTTACGGGGAAATTGATAAAGACCAGAAGAGGACCAAGGCCAGCAACCCTCTTTCCAGGGTGAGAGGAAGAGAAAAAGAGTGCCGAGCGAGGCAGGGAGGGGCACAGCACAACAACAGCACAGCACAAGGAAGGAAGGGAAGCGTGGAGGAGAGAAAGAAATGTCGGGGTATATAAGTTGAAGCTGATGCGCGAATCTCAAAGGTGGCCTCTTTGCTGGAGAGCTACTTGTTCTGGTTAAGCTCGCCCGATCGGGCTAGGCGCGGTTCTGCCATGTTCGATAGATCCGCCGTGCCTGCCCTTGTGCCTGCCAGCGCCGCGTTCTTTGTTGCTTGTGCCAGCATGCGACCGCCCGACAGCAGCGTGCATTGATGACTCTGGGCAGTACTGGTTGATCAATGGACAATTAACATGCATAATCAACACTGCAAAAGGCGGTTTCCCCACGTTGCGGCATCGGAGTTCTGCTGGAGAGGTACCTAGGTATCTAGGTTATCTTACCTTAAGCTTAGGTAAGTAAGGTAAGTAAGGTAGTATCTAGGTAGTAATATTTCCTGCCAATAGAAAGTCGCAATTACGCCGCCTTGCGGGGGGAAAGTGGTAATACTCTTTCAACCACTCCGATGGGCTGTTCTCACCACCGCCCAATGGCGTGAGCGATGGCGACAACGGGCTCCCCGCGCAGAAAAATAAGTATCTGTATAACCACCCCTCCCCTATACTCTCGCATACCGACTTTGCGTCCACATCGACCCGGTCGCTCGTGGACTTGAGTCCTCACTGCGCGGAGTGGTATCTATCTTCAACTCTCACGCTTCTCAATATCATTCATTATTTATTAAATCGCATTTCGTTTACCATCGGGCCACTGTAAGAGCCACGGAGTGCTCTCTCCCCGCCATGACGGACACACAAGACAAGATTGTCGAGGCCAATGGCAACAATGACCATCTGGTCCAGTCGGACGACCCAGAGCATCCTGCCAACTTGATCCCGGAGCTCTGTCGCAAGTTCTATAACTGGGGATGGGTCACTGGTACTGGCGGCGGGGTAAGCGCCATTATTTTCTTACCGCATCCAACGGAGGGACTGCGCTGATCATATTCTCGATCTTGGTGTAGACATCGATCCGCCGTGGAGATCACATCTACATCGCTCCGTCCGGCGTCCAGAAAGAGTTGATACAACCCCAGAATCTCTTCGTCCTCCAATACCCCACTCCTAAATACCCTCCGTCGGAGCGCAAATATATTCGCAAGCCTCAGGACCTGAAGCCATCTGCGTGTACCCCTCTGTTTCTGGCCGCCTTCGACCGCGGCGCTGGTTGTTGCATCCACACGCATTCACAATGGGCGGTGCTGGTGACGCTGCTCGTCGAGCGCGACCACGGTAAAGACGCCTACTTCGAGATCAGCAACATCGAGCAGATCAAGGGTATCCCCAGGGGCAAGGGCAAAGGCATGCTCGGTTTCCACGATACCTTGAGAATCCCCATTATTGAGAACACCGCGTTTGAAGAGGATCTTACGGAGAGCCTGGAAAAGGCAATGGACCAGAATCCCGATACCTATGCGGTTCTGGTACGGAGACATGGAATGTAAGTCATGATGCCCTTTCACCTAGAACTGGTGGTTCTAGTTTCTGACTCTCTTTCTCAGATATGTCTGGGGAGACGATGTTGCAAAGGCCAAGACCCAGTGCGAGAGCCTAGACTATCTCTTCCAGCTAGCGGTCGAAATGCACAAGTTGGGCATTCCGTGGACCTAGATAGGCCGGCTTGAAACAACCTTCGCAGTGCATTCTTCGTCAGTCAGCAATTTTAGCCTGCGATGTCTGTTAAATTGATGAATTCTGCCATGCGATACGAAGCAAGTACCCTTTACATTCGGACCTGAAGCGTCGAGTCAGCTGTTAGCACTGTATATACAAAGAATAGCTTTTTCAACTCCTGCCAGAAAATAGAGTCGATTCGAATTGAAAATTCGCTTCGACCTTGTTATCAGATGACATTGATACTCAAATCTGCTTTTTTATCTAGCGTTTGAGAGCTGGGGATAGCTGTCACACCATTGGCACACTGAATCCCTCGACAATACCCATATTATAGGTTCGAAGGACCAAATAGAAAATCAGATAACGGTCAAGTAGGGGTAAAAAGCGTATTATAATAATTGTGTTCACGCAGATCAATATTTCCGAGTAAATATTTTGACTATCCGAACGCAGTAACTGCAGTTTATGCGGCAGCCTGAGGGGCGGGTGTAATCACTAAGCGCCACCGACGGCGCGCGGAGCAGGATGACCCATCCACTCCACCAACCATAGCAAGCAGGCAAACCTGGTCCAAAAGCTCCGGTACTCCTCACTCCAGCTAGGTCTTTCCCCAAGTCAACGCCCAGCGCAGCGCATCGATCGTTGCTTCTGGCACCCTTTCCTCTCGCGCAATTCGAACAGTGAGCCTCCAGTTCTTCGCGTTGAAATGGATTTAGATGGTGGAGAATCCCCATGGGGCGGTAAGAAGTGACACCCGATGTTGCCTTAGATACAGTCCTGTCATTGAACGGGATACTGATAATGCTACGGGAATAGACGTGCCCTCGCAGTCGACTACGAGAAATGACGATACGGTACACAGTGGTAAGCCTCTTTCGCACGCTCACATCTCATGGACGCCCCCTCATGGTCATTGTCGTAGGGTCCTCGACATCCGCGGCTCCCAGTCAGCCGACAACGCAAGACACGTTAACGACACCGCGATCGCCTGTCCGACGAGGGCCTAGAACACCCCGGAAGATCAGCGCTCAGGCCACAAAGTTGGAAGCTGTCGATGATGCTGCCGATCCGCTGGGACCTCTCGGAGACAAATCGTTGGGCGAAGAAGCGCCTGCGCCGCCTCAGAAGGAGCCGTTTTCTGCGCACACTACCCGGCCCACGTCATCCACTTCGCAATCCTCGAGTGCAGCAGGGTTGATGGGTTCAGTGAGCTTGGACGATGACCAACGGATCAAGGGCCCTCCACCAGTTCAGCCTCCCCCAAGTACGGAAGGTCCCAAGAGACAAACACAACCCAGTATAAGCGTGGAAGAGGCAGCCAAGCCGACATTTCATATTACGGTTGGCGACCCGCATAAAGTGGGTGATCTAACGAGCAGCCATATCGTATATCAAGTCCGGACCAAGGTAAGATTGTTCATCCTGATGCGAAAGGAGATCGATAACTCATGAGACATGCGCAGACTACTTCAAAAGCATATCGACGACCGGAATTTGAGGTCAGCAGACGGTATAGAGATTTCCTCTGGCTGTACAATCAGCTACACAACAATAATCCAGGCGTCGTGGTTCCGCCTCCTCCGGAGAAGCAGGCAGTTGGCCGCTTCGATAGCAACTTCGTCGAGTCCCGGAGAGCTGCGTTGGAACGTATGCTCAACAAAATTACAGCTCACCCTATCCTGCAGCATGATGGTGATCTGAAGATCTTCCTGGAGAGTGAATCCTTTAGCCTCGACGTCAAGAATAAAGAAAACCGAGAACCGGACCTAGGTCAGAACAAGGGCATGTTCGGTTCATTAGGCCTCTCCGTAGGTGGGGGCGGGAAATTCATAGAGCATGATGACGTGAGTCAGATATTTCTCAACCTTTGTTCGAGACTAACAGTCTATAGTGGTTTCATGATCGCAAGATCTATCTGGACGCTTTGGAGAACCAATTGAAAGCCTTGATGAAGGCTATTGATACGGTGGTCGCCCAAAGGAAAGGGCTTGCGGAAGCAGCTGGTGACTTTTCAGCTTCTCTACACGCTCTGGCTTCCGTTGAATTGTCACCAGCACTCTCGGGCCCCTTGGACAGTTTATCAGAGGTCCAGCTACGGATACGGGAGCTCTACGAGCGCCAAGCACAGCAGGACATTTTGACTCTTGGTATTACTGTGGATGAGTACATTCGGCTGATTGGGAGCGTTAAAACTGCCTTCTCACAGCGACAGAAGGCGTTCCACAGCTGGCACGCTGCTGAGGCAGAGTTGCAGAAGAGAAGACATACCCAGGAGAAGCTTCTCCGTCAAGGCAAGACGCAGCAGGACCGTCTCAACCAGATTAACGCAGACGTAGCCGATGCGGAACGAAAAGTGCACCAGGCTCGGCTTCTATTCGAGGACATGGGTCGATTGATGCGAAATGAGTTGGAGAGATTCGAAAGAGAAAAGGTAGAGGATTTCAAATCGGGGGTTGAGACCTTTTTAGAGAGCGCAGTAGAGGCTCAGAAGGAGGTAGGCAAAAAAAAAACCACAATCGCTTTTGAGAGGACTATACTGACTCTCCTTACAGTTGATCGAGTTGTGGGAGACGTTCCTCCTGCAGTTGGATGCGGGTGAAGATGGTAATCCATTCTACCAACCGCCGGCGCCTGCCACCAACGACGGCGAAGCTGCACCCAAAGGGGATACTGAGGCGGCTGCAGCAGTGACTAGCGAGCAGCAAGAGTGAAATCGAGGGTCTTTTATCCTCCTTGTAAAAATATTACCATGTAGGCTCCCCCGAGCCAATGATACACTTGTCTCAGTACTTGTTATGTCAAACCTTTATGTCTCCTTATGAGCCTCAGAGATTGATCATTTGTGATCTACTTTTTATCAAGGTTGTTTGTTTAAATATCAAAACATGCAATATAATATACCCACTTCTAACGTTACTTATTTTCATTGTTTCATGAAATTTACTAGGCTACAAAGCACAGAAAGCCACTGTCAATGCGCTGCCACTATTTGTCTGACAGTGAGCAGCGTGTTGACTATCAATATCAATAATGCTTTACTCCGTAGGGGACCAGAACAACATATGTAAATGGACCATTCCCCAACATATCATTATGAAACCTCATCGTTACCTTTTATTCACTGCTTGTCTTCCTAACCTGTTATTAGAAAAAAAATTCACACCATAAGCCCTTTGAACTTCAAAAGGCCTGACCCGAGACGTGGCCATTTCAATGATTGATCAAGCAGCAGCCCCAAACCCTAATATAGAGGAGAGGGTGGGCCAAGGTAACTATCTTATAGGACCTATCTGAGAAATTCAATTGCTGATTGACATCTTCAGTGCCTGACCTGGTCTCCAGAAAAAAAGCCCTCAGAAACAGACGTGGAACCAAATACGCCTTTGTTCGGAAGCCCAGGGAAGGAGGAGGTGTGGATTAGGTACCTGGCAGTGAGCGAGTGAGCGAGTCAAGGTGAAGGATTGCATTTAGTCGACAAGAGAGGACATGGATTCTGCATGGTTTATGAGAGGGAGGGAAAGAGAAAGAAATAAAGGGAGGAAGGTGAGGGACGAGAAGTATGAGTGTTGGAAACTTGAGAGAGACACGGTGATTCCATCAGGAATGGATCATCCAGATTAAAGCTTCTACCTAGGTACTCTGTACCCAGGAATAAAAACACAAATTGATTTTACGATCACCGGAAAAGGGAGACGGATCTGAGATCGTCGGTATCTAGGGTTTGACCAGCGAGGTAAAGAAAAGAAAATAAAAGCAAGAAAAGAAATTGTTCCATAGATACCCTAATGTACAATACAGTACAGTACAAAAAAAGCTTGTATGATAATAAATCACAACCCAGGACAGACCAGCAATATGATATCCGTATGTAGTCGTCACAGATGCAATGCGATGCGATGAGGTTGTTCTCCTCGGTCGACAGCTTCCTTGTGTCCGTACGTAGATGATGAGACCCCGTCAGCCAGCCAGCCAGTCAGTCAATCAAGTTCCTCAGGATCAATCGATCGAGCTCGGATGGCTTTTGCCTGTGTGTTTGCCATTCGTGATTTTCATCACTCCGTCGTCGACGCGCAACGCCTTGTCCCTCCCTTCCGTCTCTCGATCCAATTCAATTCAATTAAAATCGCTTTGTTTTGACCTAGAGACCTCCCTCTCCCTGATCACAAGCACAATGACAATCAAAGACTGGCGAAAACCTCTCGATTATTTCTTCTTCCCAGACTGCTGTTCCTCTTGCGCCTGGCCAAACGAACTGATCAGATCCAGCAGGTTGTCCTCTTCTTCCTGGAGCTCTGCTTCGGCCTGTGCTACAGCTGCCGCCTCTGCTGCGGCAGCCTCTTGATCAGCTTGCGTCTCGCCCGTCTTCTTCTGGTCCACCGGCTGTGACGATGACGACGACGCAGACGCAGACGTCTCGGATTTCTCAAATTTCGAAGCTTCCTCACTACTCGTATTAGCAGCGTCCCAGCTGCGACCGAACCTGGCACGGAAAGCAGCCAGACGACCGGCCTCGTCCTCCTCGACGGTCATCAGCTTGACGCTGGAGGGGTTCCAAAGCAGGGAATTGCGCGTGTCACGGGTCGAGCGGTAGACGGGGGCCGGGGACGTGGTCCGATGGATGAACGTGCTTCCATCGGAGAGGGTGACGAGCTGCGTGAAGGTGTAGGGCCGTTTGGGTCGACGGAGGAGTGTTGCATGTCGGCATTGGTTGCAGATGAATGTCGTGGAGGGCAATGCGGTCGCTGCGCCGGTGCTGGCGCGGCGGAGAGGAAGGTTGACCGACATGCTGTGGTACCTTCAAGGGATTGTAGTGAAAAAAATGGAAAGTCGTGGTTGAATTGAATTGACCTGTTTGCTTGACTGGTCGTTTAGACAGGTATTTGCGGAAGTTGGAGAAATTTCGCGGAGAACGGAGACGCATTATGTAAGCGACATCGTTGATACGCCGGAGTTTGCGCTGGAAGTAAAAAAAGTTCAATCAACAATGGAGTACAATTGAAGGTCTGCAACTGAGCGACGACCTGAACCATGAGGCCGGGAGGCTTGGAAATTTCCTTTCAGTGCCATTCTTTCAAAGTACTGTCGTGAGGAAGGCGTCGTCGTCGAGCATCTCTTCCGCCCGACGACACTTCCGCGGGATGAAGCTGCTACCATCTCTGCCATGCACGCTTTACGCGAGTCGAGTATCAGGATGTTGTAGAGGTGAGTTTGCTCTTTCTTTCCGTTGTTTTTTTTTTCGTTGATTATTGTCCAGCCTGCTTACGTATTATATATATCCAGATATCCAATTGACGTCTACTACTATCTGTCGCTCCTCCTTCATACTTCCTCCTTTATCATCTCCTCGCAGCTCTCGACGACAAGTCAGTTCGAGTCCCTTTGGCAAAGGTTCTATTCAACGACAACGACGATGGCTACCTGTTCCATCCGGCAGCAGAAATCTCTACACAAACGCAGCGGTGGATGTAAAGGACACTCCGGAAAGCCGGAACAGGAAGAAGGAGCAGGAGCCGAGTAATACTACCAACAATCGAGACCAACAAGATGAAGACGCTTCCAGTCTCTCCCACAAGGTGCGCCTCCTCATGCGTCGGGTACCACATCCGGTCGCCATCATCACCGCATCAGACCGGCGTGCGCTGCCGCCAGACAGCAACAAAAAGCCCATCTTCCGAGGCATGACCGTATCGTCCTTCAACACGGTAACCCTCTCCCCGGAACCGGTCGTCTCATTCAACGTGCGACGGCCGTCAGAGACGCTGAACGCGCTGCAATCCTCGGGCCGGTTCCTGGTGCACCTGCTCGCGCCGAGCGCCGCGACGGCGAAGCTGGCCCGGGATTTCTCGCGGGGGAATGAGAATCTACAACTCTACCAGAAGGGGGGGATGGGGGAGTTTGAATTCGGTGGTGTTAACTACGGCGACGACAACGAGGAGGAGCCCCTGCCGATTCTCCGCCGGAATAATAAGAAGACTAAGAATAATGAGAATAGCAAGGGAACGTTGCTTGCGCAAGAGTCAGAGTCAGAGTCAGAGTCAGTGATCGACTTCCCCTTCATCTTCGAATGTAAATACCTCCCGCAGCAAGCGATCCAAGTCTACGACCACACGATCGTCCTGGGAAGCGTCGTGCGAGTTATCGAGCAGCAACACCAGCACCAACACCAACAACCGCAACCGCAACCGCAACCGCAATCGACAACAGGGATACAGCAGCAGAACAAGATAAAGGAGAAAGAAGAAGGCAACGAGTTTTTCTGCCTGACGTATGCAGATACCCGTTTCTGGAAAATGGGTGATCAGATATGATCGAATATGAAATATGAATATAGATAGAAAAAAGAATAAATTAAAATTAAGGATACTAAATTCTGCCATATCAATCAACTATGGTGTTCAAACCATGGTCATGCATGGGTCAGTCATAGATAGACCTTTTCATTCATGTTCATGAGTTGATAGGATTGCATCTATTTCTCGTTTGCTGTTTGTTGACCATACTACACACGTTCTACACTCTCCTACGTCGCCTACTTCAGAGACCAGTGATGGGACAATTTTAACAGGCATGGCTAAAACTTTTTTTTTATCACTCCCGTTTTTCAGGCTGATCTGGCTAGTCCAAAAAAAGATATCTCTATATCATAGTACAGTCGTCTTCTCTTTCCTCCTTCTTTTTTTTTCTTTCATCCCACACATCGAACTGATGACCGGAGGCCATCGATAAAATATACTGGACGGGAAAAAAAAATGTGCAGGTGGTTCTCGACCAAAGACCAACAAGAAAGGAAATAAAGAAAAACGACTGAGACACCCATCTATGCAAGAAGGATACAAAGCGTAAGAGGGCGAGACACCACCAAAAGTACAGGAGAAAACAAAGACCACCAAGGACTGCATGCAGGCGAAGAGAACGACCCGACAGGCATGCTCCACAACCATATCCAGATCACCAAGGATCTGTCTGATGACCAAGAACGTTGCAAACTTCACGAGCTTTCAGCACGTGCAGACTGGGGGCTGTCGCAGCCGCTTCCACTTCCACTTCCACTTCCGCTTCCGCTGGCGCTCCCACTGCCCCGACTTCCAGCACGGGTGAACGGACTACCGATGGGGCCGTAGGTTGGGCTAGCGTGCCCCTTCCCATCAGAGCCAGAGCTCCGCCGTTCCCGATTGCCGTCTGCAAAGTCAAAATCAGCGTACAGGCTGCTTCGGGCTGACCGATTGGAGGAAGACCGATCTCGGTAAGTGAAGTCCCGTCCAAGGTAAGACGCCATGCTTACGCGCGGTGAGGCCTGGTACTGCTGTGGTTGTTGCATGGACTGCAGCGGGCTCGTCGGGTAAGAAGACGTGGCGGGAGCTGAAGACGTGCTCTGTTGTGGGCTGGACCGCAAAGCGGACAAGCTCGATCCCAGGATTGCTCGACTGTTTGCAGGAGTGATCGTCATCCCGCCAGCAGCGTTCGCATTCTCAGCCGGAGGATTCGTGCCAGGCAGATTGCCTTCCGGCGTCAAAGGCCCGGTTTCCATGAGCATCTGCTGCTGCTGTTGTTGAATCGCCTGCTCGATCGCCGAGGCTTGCTGCCAGAGTTGATTCGTACGCATCTGGTAGTCTTGCACTGACCGACTGATCCTGGCAAGCTGTTCGTTGAAATTTGCCTCAATCTTGGCTTGATCCTGCTCCCGCGCAAATTGTTCGGCAGCCCGACGTTCTCGCTCGTTGAGGCCCTGGGCATTGGCGGAAACGATCCTCTCGTACTGCTCGTTGAGCCTGGTCCTGCGGTTTTGGAGACGCTCACGCTTCTGGATCGCGGAATTCAGTTCTGATTCCAGTGACGATATTTCGCGAGCAACTGCGGTTCGTGCTGCCAACAGATCCTCCTTGGCGGTGTTGAGCGTTTCCAATTCGCGTTCATACGCGGCTTTCTGGGTCGTCCACTTCTCCAGCTCCTCCTCGGGGATATTCTCCATGTTATCGAGCTGAACTTCGAGTACGGCCGTGGCTTCCTCCGTCTGTCGAATGTTCCTTTCCAATTGCAGGGAGCGCTGCTTTTGACGATTCTCATCGTTGCCACTGTTCAATCGATGGTTGTAAGTGTCCAGCTCTTTCTTGACACGCGAGATAACGAGCTTGTGGTCGTTCTTGGCCTTTTTCAAGCGGGCGCGTTTCTCGTTGAGCTTTGCTTCCGCATTGACGATCGAGTTCTTCAGAGTAGTCGTGGGAGAGGATGGTCGGTGGAATGGTCCGGGAGGAGCTGCAATCGAGGAGGCCGCTGCTTCCGATCGTCAATACCACGTCAATCAGATGGTAAAGGAAGAGATAGCTCTTACCTTGATCGGTATCGGGGGCCGGAGGAGTCTTGACACTCATGACACAGATTTCTTCATCGGTGTCACTGCGCACAAAGGAGCATGTGTATGCGCAGTTTGGTGCCAGACCCGAAATCTCACCCCGCCACTGCACCGAACTCGATCCTTTTGGCCCCTCGTGCACTCTGGTGACTGTTGCAGTCGCCCAGAGGGCTCCATTGACACAGACGTAGAATGGCTCCATATCCTGATTGCCCCAACGTCCATCTTCACAACCGCCGGAAGTAGTCGGATCGTCTGAGGAAGCAAAATCAGCTGCAGCAAACTTGATGGTAGAACTGTCAATCTCTGTAATCCAGATCAGCCCGTCGTCAAGAGTGATCCCTTGAAGGTCATCTTCAGTCATCGGAACACCCCTGGTGGTTTTCGAAATGGCTCTAGAATGCTCGTATTCCCTCATTACGGTGACCTTTGTACTCGCCAGAGCAGCCCAAAACGGTTGTCGACTACGAACTTGATTTGCCTGCCTTCTTCGCTTTTTAGCGCTAGTTAATCGATCCCTACTCTCCTTCAAAGCCGCGGAACCGATGAGAGCCCCGTCTGCACCAGCAATCGATGTGGCACTAGTCCCGGATTCAAAAGCTGAGTCAATCTGAGTCTGCGAGCCGGCAGAGGCCTCCGCATCCGTACGTTTCCCCGACCGAGACGGCTGAGGAGAACGGTTCCGGGCCATTGAGCGCCTCGCCATGGCCGTGCCCGCCTGAGCCAAGATGTGGATGGCCAGAAGACTCCTGATCCAACTCGGGGACGTTTGTGGCTCCGTTCGTCGAAACTCCGGGGGCATGAGCTTCGACCACCGCGACAGCACATCGGGACTGACAAGTTTCGAGGCGACCAGGTGACTCGCCACGAAATCTTGAATGCCTTTACTTCGGATGATATGCAGGAAAAGAACGATGCCCACGCACAGCGCATTGACGCCTCCGTTCTTGCCCGCACCGCCACCTCCCAGAGTGATGGCCACCTGCACCTGAGCCAGGTCGAGGGCGAAGTTCTGAGCCCAGGTCCACATGAAAAGACCCCAGAGCAGCAGACAGAACCCGTCCATGGCGATCATCGTCCCGAGAGATGGCGTGCCAGCAGGGCCCTGGAAGATGTCGAAGTTGGAGGTAAAAGAGCCCGAGGAGGCACCACCAGGAGGCATAAACGTCAGCGAGGCGAACAGGAACTGGACCAGCGTAAGGACCATCGGAGGCAGCTGCAGGAGGAAGATCAGGATCGCGATGGTGTCGTACATCGGGCACGACTTGAGAATAGTCGAGGCGAGAGTGATCGGGTTCACGGACGAGTTCTGAGCGGACCTCTTTGCAGCGGACGTCGCCTTGTCTGCGCGAGAAGACAGCTGGCCGTTGGCGTCCGCGGCCGCCGTCCCGTTCGAATGTCCGTAGGCCATCTCCCCGTTAACCTTGTGGTCACCGTGGTTGCCATAAGCCCGACCGTTGCAATCGACCTTGGAGCCATCCGCCGCGCCGTTTGCCTTTGTCGCCGTCGCCGTGGCTGTGCCTACCGAGTCGCTGGAGCCACGCAAATCCACCTGCGAGCCGGAGGCGGAGGAGGCTCCGCTGCTGGCATTCCCATTCAGATGTCCATTCGACTTTTGCTTAGGTATCCGTTTGCCGGGAGCTGCGACACCGTTCTCATGACGATTGCTGCTGTGATGACCTCTCCGAGCGGCAGCCGCTGAGCGTGGCATGGACGAGGGGACGTGAGAGGGCCCAGTTCCGAGTCAGCTTGGCAGGCGAGAGCCAAGGACTAGGAACCAGGCGTGACCGGAGACGTTTTGTCGGCGAAAAACACCGCAGAGGTGGGCGGGATCGGAGAGAGAAGGGGGGAGGAAGGGGGGGAATTCGGCGCAAAGGAGGGAAGAACAAGAACGAGAAGGCAGAATGGCAAAAAGGAATTCTCTGCCTAGATCCCGTCTAGGGGAGGGGAAGAGAGCCGCAAGGCGTGCAAGCAAAGAGAGGGAGAGAAAGATGGTGGGGGAGGAAGGGTAAGGAAAGAGCAAGAGAGAGTTTAGACCGAGTAGGCAAGAGGATTTTTGGCCTGGTCCGGTTTGGGTTGGCTCTGGACTGGTATGGAGGACAGCGAAGAAGCGGGCGGGAAAGAACGAGCCGGGCGAGTTGCGTCGTGTCGATCGTCTGGCCGAGCCGAACAAACCAGAAATGCAGATGAGCCACACAGGCGTGGCAGCCTCAGGCAGGAATGCCGATAATAGCAGCATCGCAGCGCATCCATATGAGGAACGGGCGCCTGCTTTTAATCTCGCCATGCTCATAGTCGACTGGCCCAGAGAAGCCGCCTGTTTCAGGGCGTCGTTTGTCAGGTTAGCGCCTCCGGCCAGTGGCTGCAGCGGCCTCGTACCGAAACAATACGCGGTCGACGTCAAGACTAAGCCCGGGTTACACGGCTCGACCGGAATCGCCCCGGCACGCCAGCATCTCCGTTGGCAGCTGGTGCAGATGCTCTGTGGTTTTGCTCTGGTCGTCTTCGGTTTGATCTGATGGCATGCAGAAGACCACCTCATCGGTGTCGGTGTTGTGACTATTGCTGTCAATTGCCTCCCATACGAGTGTATTGCCGTACGAGTGTATGTTACGGTATTGAATTACAGACAGTGCAGAATACGGAGTACATGCATTCCTGGCAGCATGCAGGATCGCAACGTCGACCTGCGTCTGCAGGAAGTAGAAATTTCTTGACAGTTCTCTATTGCTGACAGTTGTATATACCGTATATCTTGATGGATGCCAGCCATGGACCCGGAACTGCTGGACCTGGGTCGACATGACTAGTTGCCTTATTAAGCTCCATAACAATGGCGCAAGTGGCGCGATCGTCTACCTCGGACGACGATTCCCGTTACAAACATGCTGCTATTCTTATTACGATCACTACATATAGAGTACAGTCCGCTCCTTGCTTCTGTTTCAAAGTCGAGAAGACGTCAGTTCAGTCAGAACCAGCCGTCTGGCGAACATTCATCTGTAACCGCATATATACAGAGCACCCCGTATGGATGGTGTACCGCGTACCGGTGATTACAAAGCGCAATATAGAACGATCTTTGCAGTATGGTAAGCAATGTCGATCCGGACAACTCTCGCGTCCCGCTACACCCCATCCAGGGCAGGCGCCCTCCGATACGTGCAGTCTTCCCGCCCGAATAGGCAAACAGATGCTGGCGACAGACCATGAAGATGGATGGATCTGGCATGCCAATGGCTGCCGGCCATGTCGGTGCATGCAGGATATGGGCGCTTACCGATGCCAAGACGAGGCCGGCGGGTTCGGTTGCGCCGTGGATGGGCTGCCTTAGCCTGTTGGACTTCCTGGCAGGATTATTACGCTGCTGTTATTATTGACAGGGACAGGGATACGGAGTATGGACTGTACTCATCGTGGGTAAATGGCTAATTGCTTCCATGGCCATGACTGAGATGGACAGCTCCCATAATGATTCTTTGACAACCCGTGTGTTTATTTCAGGACTATTAATAGGAGCACAATAACACGGTACGAAAAAGAACTTAAGAAATTTTAAGAAAATGGATCCAGTTGCTAGATGACTCACCCGGGACGATGACAACGGTCCAGATGCGTCACTGTGGGGTTTTTGCTTTTTTTTCCCTCTTTGTTTCTCTGAGTTGTCATTGATGCTGGAGATTTTCCCGATTTCTTTTTTCTTCATTCCCGCGCTGGGATTCTGCCCAGTGGGGACTAGACACTTCAGAACGAGGTACGGCCGTTAACTCAGCTGCAGTCTACTGTATCCACGCCTCTAGGTGGTGCCTATGATGATTTACAGACCTAGACAGTTAGGTTATCGCTGGATCCGGGACTAAAAGATCAGGTTGGCCATCTCAATTGAAGATTTGCATTAGCATATGGCATTAGTACTATTCCCCTCACTATACTCCGTATCTCGTTCCGCACGGTCTAATTCTAATTGATTCAATCGTCCTCCGCGATCGACAAACAGAACAGATCAGGCGGGGTTTCTTTCCATCGGCACTTTCATACGGAAGTCAAGCAAGCGAAGCCCTAACTCTGCAGACAGGCTAATTAATCTGGACAGAGGACTCCGTACCTAATTATCAGACGCAAAAATTTGCTCGATCCCGTGCTCCAACTCGACCAATTAATTAGTTAGTCGTTTGCCCGTGTCGGTGTCGGTGAGCTTATTATTTTGTTTGCCTGACGTCTGTACGGACTATTGCCGAACACGGGTTAGAAGGTTAAGTTAAGGGAAAAAAATGGGGCTGCAGGCCGGGCGATCATATACGCTTTTTTTTACCTCTGCAGGTTGCAGGCTTGCGGCACATGGGAGGAGGGGTGATCGACCGGCTGCTAAGCCAAAAAGCTAGAAAGAGCCGTTTTAGAAGGAAAAGGAAAAACCTTCCATCTCATCAGGACGAGAGTTAGACTTTTGAGTTAAATACTAGTAATACTAACTTACGGCGGAAAAATCAGTAAGTAACAGTGAAAGTGTGATTATAGGCATCCTTCAGAGTGACATAAGTCTCTGCTGTATATCTATCTTACGTATAATGAAAGTGGGGTCCTCAAGAAAAAAAATCAACTAGACCGACCTAGCATCTCGATCTGCAATCGGCAGTAAATATCGTTTGTTATTATTTTTTTGACTATTTCTTCCCCTCCCCGCTTGTACGGAGGACAGAATACTACTGTACGACCAGGGTCAGCAATTACACTCCGTACGTAGAGTAATTAAAGAACCAGGAACATCCATGATTATTTCCGCAGCCGGGGTCCATGAGAAAGAAGTCCGGAGTCGGGAGGAGTATGGCCAGACGAATTGCAGATCCCTCATGTTGCATGGAGTAAGCAAGAAGATACGTAACCAAAACGGGTCAATGGCTAGAGAGTGGACAAGGCTACCTAAATAATACGGTAGCCTACTAGCCTCCCCTGCGGACAGAGTCAAAAAAAAGGTTGCAGTTGCCCGTCAGTCAGTCAGCTCAGAACAAAAAAGAAACAGGAACATCCTGGCGGATTCAGCATCATGTGACCATGGCTGGTATTGTTGGTTTCCCCGGGGAGAAAAGCGAAAATAATCAATCAATCAATCGACCAACTGCACGATGTCTTGCATGGGTTAGATGATGCCAGATTGATTATCATAGGCTGGGCGGGGTATATTATTACATATGTAGCCTAGACTATAGTATAGCCCCTCACTACCATTTTTTGGGGGCTAAGCTTATGTTGGACCGTGACGAGATTCTGGGGATTTCCATACTAGTACAGTAATAGTCAGTATTAGTCCAAAGGACTGTGAAAGGCTCTAGATTAGAGTCTACCTAGTAGTTCCATAGTCAACCAGTCAAAGAACAATACTGTATACTATTACTGATTCTCCAGGGAATAGATATAAATAATAATAATCAATCAATTCATCCAAATACATAAAAATGGTAAATGCAGTCCTCCAAAGGCCACGCCACAGCATAACCAAAAGTTTTAAAACGTGGCAGCATACAGAGCAATCACATCCGCCCCCAAACTTCTAAACAACATGAATAATTTGCTCAGCGTTTCGGTGGATACGACGTCAGCCAGCCGCTTTAGGAAATGCCGGGTGAGACCTGAAGGATCGTCAACCTTTGGCTAAGAATAATCCAGATCTTATCTGCACGGTGATTGCGTCTGCACCATCTGTACTGAAAAGGTAAAAATACCTCGGTGGGTGGTAATCTAGATCCTTATGGGCGAGCTGGTGGAAAAGACATATACTCTGTATTAGTATTCGATCTGAGGTATATGCACACGTATGCCTATGCACAGTACAGTATTGATAGCTTTAGTACTGCTTTACGAGTGCTATGTTTGATTGACAGAAAATATAGACCATGGAAGGAATGACGGCTACTATAGTACACACCTTTCCAGGTTGTGTATCAAATCTTATCTACAATAATGAAGTTACAATAATGAGATATATTATTTCTATACAATCATACTCTTCTGTACAAGCTCGACCATCTACGGACAAATATTTTATCGCCGACCTCGAATGTCTAGTTACCGCCCTGCAGCGGATCCCATGTCTTCGACAGCATCTTCTCGATCCCAGCTCTCCAGCTCCAGAGTCCGGACGCGGTCCTCAATCTCCGCGATTCGCTGTCGCCATGCCTTCTTTGACTCTTCCTGCAACTCCCACGTCTTCTTGAACTGATCGAGGATGAACGGCGGCGGCGTAGGTGCCTTGCGCTGCAATCGATAGTCATAGATGACGTTCTCCTCGACACACCGGGCGGCTGGCCGCTGGCGCGACTCGGAAAGGATCAACACCTCCTGCTCAAATGCAGATTGCGAGAGGGAGTCGGACGGGTCCCTCGTGAGTCTGTGGTAAACCGTGATTTTGTCAGGCCATTTCATGGGCTGGTAGAAGGCGTCAGAATCAGCACGATGAGAGATTTGGTGATCTGGAGCACCCACAAATTTGTAGTCGACCTTGATACTTCGCAGAATCAGCCCGATGCCGGTCGAACCCACCATGTTTAGCCATTCCTGCTTATGCTCTGGATCTATATATGTAGCGTAGTTGCGCATCAGATTTACTCTGGCGGTCTCAGCGTATCTGACATAAGTGACGTTGTTAACGTGTCCTGGACGACAAAAGTTAGAGGCTATTCCATGACTCGTCAAGATGGTGCGGCAGCCAATGCTTACCCTTTCATGTCATCAGCATGCTGTTGAAAGCCTAAAGCCTGTCCAATATCAAAGAGGGCCCTATATTAAAAGAACAGTCCTTACCATGACATCCTACCCACGCAGGGCAAAGGACCACATCAGCAATCGTTCAATCGCAGCTGGAAAGGAAATCGCAAGCTCACCATCTCTCCCCACACAACATTGTGACGGAACAATGCCCTTCGTGTCTCTCCCGTCAAGAAGCCCTCGCTGCCGGCAATCAATTCACGCCAGTCCCTCGCGAGTTCTTGCAGGATTCGACCTGCCTCTGCCACCTGAGGCGGCTTGAGACCAAACATCAGGCATTTGCCAATCCTCCTCTTGATCAGTGTAAGCCATCGCGGATCTAAAGAATCTGCTTTCGAGGGTGTAGACGGTGACGGCGCATTCGACGACTGAGGGGAAGCTGCATTCTGCCGTGTGGAGAGCGTCGACAGCGTCCGGCTCTGACTGCAACAGAAACTAAACACTGGCTGCTGAAACGAATGCAGATGCGGTCGTCGCAAGAAGCGAATTGAGCTCATTGTCTTGTTTGCAAGTTTCCAGCAATGCGGAATATTGTTCAATGCCCCAGATCGCGACAAGGAATGTTCTTCAAGAAGCTCGCCGCAACCCGGTCGGGGTACTGCCGGAGCTCGGTAAACCCCACTCGCCTGGGGAAGCCGAAGCTTAGCGGCGTCGACTTATCGTCTACAGCATCGATAAATGCAAGAAAACTCCGTCAATGGACCATGACAAGCTACATGAGCTCTTCTGATTGCTAGTCTAGTATGTTAAATTCCAAATGTCTCAAAAACACATCTCCTTCTTTTGCACTGGAGCAGCATCTCCGCTAACAATCACGGTAGATCGATCTAATGCGATAATATATAACTCCAGAAAAGCACCCAGAGCTCGAGGAGCTGAATCGGTGACTTCGAATTCCATTCACCCGTTTGTTACATCAGATGCAAATCCCAAAGTGCCACTCCACCAGCACAGACAACATCCCATCACAACGATAACAATACAACAATTACGACGACAATGACGAACCCCGAACTCCGTCGACAAGTCATCAACATCTATAAAGGTAAAGAAAAGAAAGCCCTTGGAAAAAAAATTACCCCCTCAATTACTAATAATACCTGTTCTTCATGAAAACCCTAAATAATAAGTAAATGCTACTACAGAACTACTCTTCCTCGGCCGCGAATACCCGCTCGGTTACACCTACTTCAGGGACCGCCTGCACCGCGCATTTTCCGGAAAGGCGCATCTTACAGACGACAAGCAGATTGAGGAAGGGATCAAGAGGGCCGAGTTTGTGAAGAAGGGTAAGTTTGATTTTCATCTATCGCGTGAGTGACTGGGTTTTGTTTGAATACTGGGGAGAGTCCAAAAGGTCGTTTCTATCTACGTCGAGCATGATTAATTAAATCGATCGAGACAAGCGAGGATGCTCCCAAACAAAAACAAAATTTGTCCTTTGTCTTTTCTTTTTTCAGACTTCTACCGTTTCTTCTTATCTTATCTTTCTGAAGAAAAGAGGATCGAAGGCTGACCAAGAGGAACTGGAACTCCGTTATTACACCGGTTCCTGACAACAGAGATTGAGACCATGTAAGTCAGCTGCCAACCTACACGACCAACCCTACCTCCTACCTACCTACTATTAGCTCGCCATCAAGAGAGACAAGACAGACAATCCATCGTTTGTCCCTGAAACCAATCAACACAACTGATTCCCTATTGCATTTATTTTTTTATCCCTATGTACTGCATACCAACCAGCATGTAAACGTGCAAGCAAAAAACTTTCCTTTTCATGGCATCATATTATTAAAAAAAAAGGACATGGAAAAAAAAATAAAAGAAACAAAAATAGTTGGGCAATGCTGACAAGAAACCTTGGATTTGGGAAAAACAGGTATTACCTGAAACGATACCGCACACTGAGGAAAAGATACGAGACTCCATAACCATTAACAATGGCAATGACAATAACAATGACATGGGCATCGGGAGAGAGAGATATATATACATCTCTCTCTTTCTCTTCATATTTCTCCTATCATGTCCCTGTACAATAGCAAAAGAAGAAGAGAATGAAAATGAAGAAAAAGGCACGTGTGTATCATTCATATATATAATATGCTAACCGACAGACAGACAAACAGACAGACCAGCCAACCAACCAACCAACCAACCACCAATCATCGAAATCAATTTGGGTATCTTTCAAATATATATATAGAAAGAAAAAAATAAAATAAACAATCGTGGGCTTTTCTTTCCCTTATTTTTTTTGTTTTTATATTTTTCTTTTTCATCATGTCGGTCATTTCTTATTTCTTTGTTTTTCTTTCCTTTTTTTTTCCCTTGATCCTGCTTCAGCTCGCCCTTCGAGCTGAATCACTTCTTTTTCTGCCCCCACCAGGCGCCTATTTCGAGACATTCCCCACTGGCGAGGCCGTTTTTCTGCAGGAAATCGGCCGTCATGCCCGCCCACCACCGGTCCCACTCGTCGCGGCTTTTGCCGCTTGCCTCCATCAGGATCGGCTCCATGGCTTCGATCATCTGGATGACGGTGAGCAATGCGGTGCGGCGTATGGAGAGCTGCTCGGCCGTCAAGGGCTTGCGCGCGTTCTGGTTCTGACCTTCCCGTTCCCATCTTATCTCCCCGAGAGGAATGGCGATTCGTCGGCTGCCGACGCTCTGGAAGCTGTCTGCTTCCGTGGTGAAGGACATGCTGATGGTGGCGCAGGGCATCGGGCTGAGTTTGCGACGCTCAAAGGCGCGCTCCACCCACGTGTTGTAATCCTGCAGGTACTTGTTCTGCGCCTTGGTAAATGGTGTCGCCGGCGAGATTGTGTAGGTCGCCGTGGCATTGGCCTGCCCCTGGTCTTTCTCTGCTAGCCCTGGGGCGGGAGTAGGGTTGGGAAGAAGAGATCTGAAGACATGGTCGGAATCCCACACTTCGAGGATCCCCCCGCGTTTGAGCACGCGCAACGGTTCGCTGAGCAGCTCGGCCTGCTGGGCGGTCGCGGATTGACAGAGTCCCGCGTCCTTGATGAAAACGAAATCAAAGTGCTCGGAAGGAAAAGGGAGGGTGGGTTTGCGGAGGTCATGCCGTTTGAACTGCCAATTCACGCCCCTCTTGCGCAGATCGGGGGCCAGAGGGGTGATATCGACGCCCGTGAACGAGATGTCCGTGTGGCCGTCGCGCGCGAAATATTCATGACATATGCTCGACCACAGCCCCGACCCGCATGCCAGTTCCAGAACCCGCCTGGGCGGGTTCTTCTCGAGCTGAGGCGCACAGAAAGGCGCCCCGAAGACACGGATGAGTGTCATGGTGCGTAGCGTCTGCCGGTGGATTTCGGGGAGGTCGCAGGGCAGCGGATACGGGTTGTCGGGATCCCGCAGGTATGTGCGATCGTTGATCTTGGCGAACGGATGGGTTGTGTAGTCTGTAGCCGAGGACAGCGACGACGAGGAGGCCGCTGTCAGCCCGCCGCTGGTGGCAGAAGCCATGGTCGCAACGGACTGGATGGAGGGGTTCTTTTGGTCGGTATTGTAGGGCGTGCCCAGATGGGACACGGACGGGGGGATGAAGATCCCCATGTTGGAGGTGAGGGATTCACTGGAGGGAGGCGGCATATTGACCTGCATGGTGATATATCGCGCGTGGTGTCGTGGTCGAGGCGGGGGTTGCGGTGGTGGTAGTCGTCGTCCTTATCGCTGATTCGGCTCGTCGCATTCGTTTCATATCTGGGTGGCGTCAGATAGACAGATCGGTGAATTCCATCCTATCTATGGCATCATTCCTCGCAACGCTGGGTTATGCGTGACACAATTCGGATGGCCGATCTGCTCTGAGCCGAATTGGACAGCGGCTGGAGGAGAAAAGAGGACGTGAATGCTCGACTCGTGTCTCTGACAGGCGAGGGAGTGCACTCAGAGTCTGGACTGGCTGGCAGACCTAATAATAATCGGCGTGGGCGATGGCCCCCGTGCGTGCAACGTTCGAGGTCTGCCCACCTCTCCACCCGCGGCCCCTTTTGGCGGGGCGGAAGGCCGACTAAGAGCGACTAAGTTCGACGACGGCTCCCGGGACGAGCGCATGGATTCGGTAGGTGTCTTCCTGGCGAGCCGACCTGGTGCTCCGTCGTCCGGACAGGCCGTGTGGAACGGGTGGAGCTTCCGTTGTCATACGGTTCTTGAATAATGTGTGTTCCGGACTGGGAATCGCAGCAAGTGATAAATAATAAGCTCGCGGCAAGGCGACGTTCAGACCTCCAGGTGTGAGAAATTATCCGCGTGCAGACGGGATCGCGACCCTCCGGATCAAGGAACAAAAAGCGAGTCACATTACCAGTCAATTGATTAATTATGAAGTACGGGATACTCAACTCCTCCTGCCTTCCCACAGTTAAGCGAAGGCACATTACCATACTGCAGTTAATTCGACCTGCAGCAGCAATTTCGATCCGTCAAGCACGTGCTCACGGCCAGAAGCGGAAGCACTCGGGGAGATTCCGCCGAGGCCGGCCACATGCCGGCAGTTGCAGCGCAGTTCATAGTTCGCTATGAGTAAGCGCCCCTGACTCCTGGATCGATGGTGGATAAACGGGCAGAGCAATGTGCATGCATGTAGCTGCATCACTGATTGACGGTGGATACGGTCCCGAATCTTGCAGCGCGTGCCGTCGCACATGGCAGCGGGTATATGCTCCCGTACTTGACCAAATCCCTACTATTATTATAGCAAGGGGGAGGATCCTGGCAGATAGCTAACTTGGCTAGATACCGTTCCAATGGCACGGCACCGCTTGCAGATACCCAGGGAGTCGGGCACAGCAAGTGCAATCACGAATGCTCCCTAAACTGTATTCCAATGGAGGACAGATTACGGATTACGGGGAATATAACATCATCAATGGCTACGCATTGCTTTCAAATCAGCGAAGTATTCCGTAGATTCTGCAGGAATTCATAAGGTTAATAATTGCATCAGCACCGACGGAGCACTCCCTACAGCCTCGTGAGCCTGTGCAGAGTGCGGCATCATACCTGAGTATGGAGTAAGTGGCTGATCTGACGGCTTCGCCATGCGATGCTGCTGCTAATCATACTCCGTGCCATTCGTGCTAGGCACCGCGGAAGTCGGGAGGCGTTCCGTAGTGCCCACTGCCTCCCGTTCATTCCTCCCGTCTACGGACTATTACCAGGGACCAGGGACCAGACTACCGACCTAGTGTCTCCATGCCCAGGAGGGCCAGTGGTAAATCAGGTCCTCTGTACCTGGTACCTGGTAACAACTAACAAGCCTGTCTGCTTCGGTACTGAAAAAAAAAATGGGTCCTGGATTATTATTGCCAACGGAGTATCCGTGCCACTGCCTCCTTCCGGAGCGCTGGCGCTGGCGCACACTAGCAGCGCGCTACCGTTCCCAATTCCTAGGAATGGGGATCACCGGCGTGTGGTTGTCAACGGTCTGGCTTCTTGACTCCTACCCAAGAGTAAGGGACAGTGGACTAGGGAGTCTACTAGGACAGGTGCTGGCCGTGCTGCTGCCGATGGTGGGTACCTACTTCGTACTTTGGCAGGTGGTTGGAGTGTTCGACGTTGATAGCCTGTGCACAGCCTGGACTCTAAGGAGGATAAGGACTCAGGAGGAACTATGTTAGGTTCGGCTAATGGTGAACTTACCAGGCGGAGACCTCTAGTAGGTACGGAGTACGGAGTATGTATGTCGTTATCTATGAGGAGAGGCTGAGGGGGCTACGTTCACATGAAAGGTCAATCTCGAGCGATTCGAGGAGGCGAAGGTATAGGAGAAATTCTACATAGTGAGGCTGTGAGCAGATGCTGATCAAGTTTCAATTCGTCTAGCCTCATCTACTAACCTAAACAGCGTAAACATTTAACCGCAAACCAGCTTTTAAGAATTAACCAGCTCGGGGAAGCTATTGTTTCGAGAGGAATGACGACTATTATTGAGACTTTCTCAGAAGTATGTGCTGTACAAAGTGATCAGAAACTGATGTCCTAACTACTGTAATCAATCAATTGCGGATCACTTCATTGTTGCATGAATGTCATCAGTCAGCACTCCTCGCTGATGTCCGGCGAAAACAGCCAGGAGACTTCCAGTAAAATATCATAACTGAACCTGAGTTGATTTTTTTTTAAGATATCCCACATTTGCCTCAATGTACCATGTATGTATTGTACGTTGAATTTCTGAAAATTCAATCCCTCAGTGCTAAAATTGGAATCTTCAACCGTCCCTTTCTCCGGGAAAAAAAATGGCAGTTTGATTGAAATCCTGCACGATAAGGCATTAGTCTATCAGTTATCATGGAGACATGTCGTCGAATGCTGTCAATGCCCAAGACCAAAGCGATCGCACTCGTAAAGCAGGGCACTTACCCGAGACAATGGTGAGGATGAGATCTTATCAGCCATAAATAGGAAATAGACTTGTTATAATAAGCTCCCTTTTCTCTTATTCTCCTCTCCCATCTTCCTGTTTAGTCTTGTCACACCAGGTGTTCTTGCGATTCGTCAAAGTATTCTGGATAGGAACCTCTCTTACTGAGTATATCGGCTACAACATCTGAGAATTTGTCGTCAGCATAGACATACAAAGTTTCTAACTTCGGGAAATGTCTCCCGAGGACCCTCGCGAGTTCAACCACCTCTGGTGATCTATCAAGCATTAACAGCTATCAGAAAATATTCCTCCTGAAAGGTACACATATAAAAGGCAATATCAAAGACTCTGAACATACCTAGGATGGTAATCGTCACGGCCATCGTAGCCATGGCTAAATGGTGTAAACTTGTCGAGCGCTAATATTCTGAGACGAGGAAACATCGGTGCTGGATTATCTTCATATCGAAAACCGATCCAATACTGCAATGTTGGAGAAAAGGACAGTGCTTGCAAAGGGATTCCAGAATAGCAGCTGACAGAGGGGACTTTGCTGCAATTCTGAGAGTTCGTAGATGACCAAGGTGCGATATCAGCTCTTCAAACTCGTCGTCGGTAAGGTCCAAGTATCCGTCTTCCTGCCAATGCCAAAAAATGTCAAAAATACTAATGGAGAGCTGTTCAAGTTTGACTAGGCTTCTCAGCAACAGAAGCTCGTTCGATGGTAGTCTCCCGTAGAAAGACAGCCTTAAATGCCGTAAATCCGTGAGATGTGACAGCTGCTCCAAGACCCCGAGCCGGTAGAGCCCTAATTTCAAGTCGAGTCTTCTGAGTCTGATAGGATTGACCATTTTGGTTAGGGATGGGACTGCTTCGGCATGTGTAACAATTTTAAGCTTTTGAAGCGCCTTGAAGGGGGTTGGGACTTTTGTCAAGATCTCTTCGATGGTGGCTTTGTATATCCGCACACCGACATCCAGGACTTTGAGATTCTCGTGTCCAGCCAAATGTAGCAAGGTCTCATCGGTTATGAGTCGGTCCATATCGAACATAAACTTCATGCTTTCTAATGACGCACAGCCTTGGAGAAATTCTGAAAACTCTGACGGTGTTATATGCGGCTCTGGCGAGTCGATCACGATTTTTCGTAGGCGCCGGCAGGTCGTTTTCAAGTGATCCAATAGGCTGGAGTCGATATCTCCCTCATAGAACAAGAACTCTTCTAGTGAAGGCTGCAAATACTGCTTCAGTCGGAGAATATTTGCGGTGCGGAAACCCCAAATGGTAACACTCTTCAGGTTTGTCACTTCAAGGTCTTCAATGAGATCATATGGATCATATGAAGCTTTCGACTCGTCGAAGACTAACGAACGAATCTTGGAGGCGTAGAACTGACGGCGATTCTCCGCGGCGCGGGCAAGCTCTCTAGGGGACGCCTGCCGCCATAAAATGGTCGTTCCATGGAGGAACCATTTTCGATTGACCCGAATAGCTGCAGCCAGGGACGGTCGATCTGACTCGAGGTAGCCGAAAATCTCCAAGAGGATCTCTGGGAGCTCCAGTGCGAGATGTGGTTCCCAAGCTTTCTCCATGCTGCAAAGCTCTGCTGGTGTGTGGCTGTGACGATTGCTCAAACGTGGTTCTCGCAAGTCTGCCATGTTGTATGTTTTGAAAGAAAGTGGGCAAGAAAACTCGGCAATGAGTCAGATTGGAACTAGCGCAAAGGTCAAGCTGGCCCAACCAGACTACTAGAACGCTGCAGAGCACCAAAAATCTTCCTTCAGCTGTTATTGCAAGCATTTTGGTCGGTAATTGCCGCCTGAGCTCGTTTACTTTGTTCCCAAATAGGCTTAGCTCTCTATAACCATATTAAGACAAATCTCTACCTGTTGCCTACGTACCTCCTCGGTAGTAGACATCTTCCTTCTAGATAGCTCTGGAACGCATCCGAAAGGCTAGAAAGTGGCTTTTGATGACAGCAGATATCTATTACTCGTGTCATTTAAGTTGCACTCGAATTTCCTAAATGCGGAGGACCCCTTACCCAGAGAGCCCTCCACGGCCCAGCTTCAAGCCTATCAAAGCACATAATGAAGAAAATTGATTACTTAGATTGTGGGGTCTCGAAATATTCCATGCTTTTTTTTAGACATGAAGGAGAGAAATAAGATCCAACTTATCTAGCAGCTACATAGGTTGCTACAATCATATTTGAATGGAACAGTTGTCCAGCCATAATGTCAGAAAATGAGAAAGAGAAGGGGGCCAAATGTCTTCTTCAAGACAAGCATGATAGTTCTGGCTTCGGTCCACTGGTTTGAGGAGAATATAAAATCTTAAATCACAATGGTTTCTTCCCATAGACAACATAGCTGCAAAGCACTTTAGTGTCTGGACAACTCGGCAAAACGATGTACTAGGCAGTCAACTTACCAGTCAAACATGGAGTGAATGGCATGATTCCGCATGTCACTCTGAACTTTGGAAATCTTAGTATTCTTAGTACGACATTCCTCCCGCTATAGCGCAGGAGGTTGTTTACAACTTTGTGAAGACATTTGCTGGGATTTCCCGATCCAGACAGCTGCAGAGACGGTATTTTGTCTAATGCTAGGTACATCGACACGTACCTTGCGATGCTCTGCAGGCATGTACTTAAGGATGCTGATCCATGATACCTCAACGGTCGAAGCCATCGACAAATGACAGGCGCAGGATATATCTGCTACAGTTGATGGCGCAAGGCTTGTACCGTTTCGACACCAACCTCTCTGAAGAAGCTCTAAGCTGGCTAGTAATGTTTTCTATAGCAAAAGAAATTGCTAGGTTCGCTCTAAGAACTAATTTAAGGCTCTGCAATATGATGCAAATGCAAGGTCTCAGGTTGTTAGAGGCAGTTGATAGCTTGAAGGTCATCAGATTAAAGTAGTACTGGCCAATCAGAAGGGCATCTGCGGTTCCCCTGGTTATGGTACTTTTCCTTAATAAGCAGAAATCTGCCAAATGCCCCGACCGCCACTCTGAAGAATAGCTTAGGGAGGTCTTTTATCACAAGGCTAACGATAGCAATAATAACAATAATAGGAACTGAGTACACAGAATGCTGTCATTTGGGTCTATACGTAGGAAGATATATGGAGTAGACCTACTACCGGTTGTTGTCCTACCAGCAGACCTTTGATGCGGACTAGATTGCGCGAAATTTCAGAGTTTATTGGACGGGCGGGGGAACTAAGACTAAGGCTTTGACATGAGAATAGAATGGATGTCTTGTTGATTGACACAGAACCTGAATAAGACCATTCATTGTTGCATGAATGACACCTGAGGAGTCAGGCATGCATTTCGCGCCAAGCCTTCCGCTGTTGGCTAGGGCCTCTTGGCTTTAGCCACACTGGCTGGCCAATCACATGCCTATCTGGTGCAGGCCTTTCAGCACGTGACCTGGTACAACTCCCGCTTTCGATGCAAACCACTTTGCAACATCACCGCTGGAGAGTCATCAGAGCACAGCGCCCGTGCCAGCAACGCTTCTGCAGGACAATTGTCACACAGATTCAGCCTCTCCCTTTTGGGCCCAATCTATATTGCTGTGAAACCTCTGCTTGACCTGTGGTTAACATCAGCCTTCTGTCGTCCATTTCTTGCCCTCTGCCTTGCTATCTTCCGGTGTCGGCGCCCACTGTTGCGAAACGCTGCTCCCACCAGACGATTGACCAGCTGCAAGTGGAACAACAGAGAGGAGGAAGCGAAAGTTCGGCCAGGGCCGCATGAGACGGGCGTGATTTCGGAGCGTCCACGACACAGGCTTCCGTGTGAAGGGAGGTTCCGCCCCAGGGCCCCATGTTGAAGAGAAGGAGAGAACGTGTGCGACCTCTTATTCCTGCTGCGACCTGCAACCCCTCGACCAATCTCGGATCCGCTTGTTCGACATCTCGCGACTCTCCAACGTTTCCCTCCACGGGGCACCACCTACGGTCTCGTCTGCCACGTTAAATGGCAGATGGTACCTATCGGTTCCAGCAGCCTGGGGCCGGGCAGTTCTATTTTCAAGCGCAATCACAGCAACACGTTCAGAACGCTCACCAACGACACTTCGTCCGGAACGGAACCGACTCGCCTGGACGAGTGAAATACAATAACGACACCCCTTCTCCTTCTCGATCTCCTCCTCTCATCTCAGGCGCCGCGCTTAATCCCTACGCAATGTACAGTCAGGGCCACCAAGGCCAACACGCCATGATGAATGGCGGTCAGGCCCACCAGCGATTTATGATGCAGATGCCGAAATTCCAGCACCAGAATCACCACCCGCACCCTGCCCAGCAGCACCATAATCCGCATGCGAACCAGGCCTCTCATACCATGAATCACAACTTCTCTGCGGGGGCTCTGACCAGTTCCACTCCCCACTTCACGCCGAGCCACTTACAGAATGGGACGCCGGCGACCGTCGAAGAAGAACTTGATGGGTCGATGAACGAGCATTGGCAACAGCAGCTTCAACTGGCGGCCGAGTCAAGGCAGGCGAATTCTCCTCACTATTACGCCCGGACGGTCGCGCAACAGAGCAAAGGCATTCAGATCGCACCGAGCCAAGCAGACACACAGGAAGGTAGTGGCGATAATCGGGGCGATGCGTCCGGTTCCAAGGAGAATCCCAGACAAGGCTGGACCGCTCTTGATTTCGGCGGTCAGGGGTTGCGTGCCCTCTCCCCCGCGCTCTTCAATTACCAATTCCTGACCAAGCTATACCTCAACCACAATAAACTAAAAACACTACCTCCTGCCATTGGACAATTACGGAATCTCAATCACTTGGATCTGTCAGGAAACGAAATCAGCGAACTTCCGGAGGAGATTGGCATGCTTACCAATCTGCGCAAGCTTTACCTGTTCGATAACAGCCTACATACCCTGCCGTACGAGATGGGCTATCTTTATCGTCTAGAAACTCTTGGCATCGAAGGCAACCCGCTTAACGAGGTCTTAAAGTCTCAGATCATGAAGGAGGGCACCAAGGCATTGATCAAATATTTAAAGGAAGAGATGCCTGGTAGGTCCACTTTCCCCCTTGCAACGTGTGCGCAATGAGCTTTTAACTAACTTGACGTCAGTCCATTTGCCGCCGGCCGACCGAGACTGGATCGTCCTTGATGAGACCTCCAATTCTTCCAATGGACCCGTCGACAAGTTTACTGCTCTCTCGTACAACACCCTCTGTGATCAATCGGCCTCTCCATCGCATTATGGTTATGTGCCGTCTCGCGTTCTGTCCTGGGAATTCCGGCGAGACCTCATCCTCAGCGAAATCCGGAGCCATGATGCGGACATTGTCTGTCTTCAGGAGATTGACCAAGGAAACTACAATGAGTTCTTCCGAGAACAGCTGGCGTATAATGACTACAAGGGTGTGTATTGGCCCAGAGGTCGGGCAATGGGCATGAATGAAGAGGAAGCCAAGACCGTGGACGGCTGTGCGACCTTCTTCAAAGGGAGCAAGTTCATTCTGCTCGACAAGCAGATGATCAATTTCGGTCAAACAGCCGTTCGAAGGCCGGACGCCAAGGGCCAGGATGATATCTACAACCGTCTGTGGCAAAAGGATCACATTGCGGTCGTGGTCTTCTTGGAGAATCGGATGACTGGCACGCGGCTGATTGTCGTGAACTGCCACCTTTACTGGGACCCGGCCTACAAGGACGTTAAGTTGATCCAGACCGCCATTTTGATGGAAGAGATCACCAAGCTTGCTGAGGGTTATGCCAAATATCCACCTCTTACCGACAAAACGGCGTTCCGCTTCTCAGAGCCGGAAGGTGGCTCCCAAGAGAACACGACCCCCGTGGAGCCTGCACCGTCCGCCGAGTATTCCAGTGGTGATCAGATCCCTCTGATCATCTGTGGTGACATCAATTCGGCACCTGGTTCTGCCGCGTATAACCTGATTGCGCACGGTGGGCTGACGGAAGAACATCCGGATCTCGAAAAGCGAATGTATGGTAATCTTAGTCGCGTCGGCATGTCACACCCGTTCAAACTCAAGTCCGCGTACGGCGCCATCGGGGAGCTGCCATTCACCAACTATACGCCGGACTTTAAGTCGATCCTTGATTACATCTGGTACTCGACGAATGTGCTCAACGTCACGGGTCTGCTTGGGGAGGTTGACAAGGAATATTTAAAGAAGGTGCCGGGATTTCCAAACTTTCATTTTCCTAGTGATCATCTCGCATTGATGGCGGAGTTTTCAGTCAAGGGGAAAAAGGGTAAGGTTGTGGAAGCGGATTTTGGGCCGCAACGGGAGTCACGGGACAAGTCGAATTGATGGATGGAAACGGAGCATGTTAAATATTATGAGGACTGGTGTTTTTGTTTCAGACCGGTTTTCTCCTCGCTATCTCGGAATTTTTTCGCGGGTTCTTATGTCTTCTCTTTTTTCTGCGTCCTGTTAAGTAGTATTGTGTTTGCCCGTGTGATGAGTTGTTGCCTGTGAGCATCTGTTTCTTTCGCGTCTTATCTTTTTTTGGAAACTTAAGTCAACGGCGTGGCACTCTTTTTTTTCCCCCTTCCACTCTTTGTATCCTTGTTCTGTCAGTCATCAGGTGCGTGGTATTTGATCTTCCATTTCCCCCTCTTGTCTCCTCGGGGACGTCGCCCAGACGACCTATTGAGCGACGTAGAGGCGTGCGGTGTTCAGGTGAAGCTTTCAGGACTTGGAGGGGCTCATTCATCTGTTCTGGGTTCGGTCGAAGACAAGGGAATTGCTCTCTCCATTGCGGTGAAAAGGGCTTTTCGATAACTTTGTACCTTTCTCTCTAGTTTTGCTTGCCTCCTGAGAGCTACCTAGGTAGTCCTGCCCTGATTTAAAATCAAGACAGGCTTCTTACTTCACCATTGATTGTGCAGACATTGAGCCTGAAGTAGACCTGCCATATGATGAATATCTGCCTGCATCTAGGTAATATCTCCATCAAAGAGTTGCACTGAATTCGTATAGTGTGAAGAATTGCGGGGCGAACAGCTTCTGTTGTGATTTCGACGATGCAACCCTCCCCGCAATCACATGGCTGCCGCATGCCGCATCCTGCATCTACTGTTATTTATAGCCGTTTAGAAGCTCGAAAGCCGACTGCAGCTCCGAAACAACGACAACCGCGTCCCGGCGTCAATTGATTGCATTTCTACCAAATATCCCCAGTAGTGAACTTCCATTACTTTGTGAAATCTCAATTGAATCTGACTGTACTTTTTTTTCTCTTCTAGCCCAATTCGCAGCTTCAATAGAAACACAATACCCGTCATGGTTACCACCGAGGAAGGCACACATACTGTTTTTGACGGGACAAAACTCTACACCAAGACTTGGAAGGTCTGTAATGCGCATATATACACGTTCATCGGAGACTTTCCAGAAGTTTTATGCAGCTCCTGTGAATTCTTGCTATTCTCACATTGTCCCTCATTGACCAATTCCTTCGCCAAGCCTACATCGCCCCCTGCTGATGGATCGATCTGGAGACTTTTTGGCTCACTGGCAGTTGAAACAGTCTGACACTTCCCCGCGAGCTATTGTGGCGTTTGTCCATGGGTTCAGTGATCATTGTATGTGATTTTCTGATTCTCTCTCGTTTGCGACGTGATGCCCTTAAGTGTATTTTCATGTGATACGTTTTCTGGAGTCCTCCCTGCCTCAGGCCTTGTTTCCATTTCAACCGAAGAGCAGAAATAATCGCTCATCGATGTCTTCTTCAGAAATAAAACTAATTGGATGGGATGGTGAATGCAGGCAATGCCTACTATGACTTCTTTCCAGCTTTGGCGTCGCATGGCATTGAGGTCAGGGCTTTCGATCAACGGTATGTAATAACGACTGTCATACATATCTCGAGTCTCTCTGCTGGAGTCATGTGTCTTCTGGGGATTTTCCAGATTAAAAGAAAACCATCCATTTATACATTCCCGACAATGGCCAGTGCTATTCAAATGATTATCATACTCACGTCTTTGATCTGAATGTTCTGCAGAGGCTGGGGTCGCAGTGTTACCACACCGAAACAACGCGGTCTGACGGGTCCAACGTCTCTGGTTCTCTCTGACATACACTCCTTCTTGCTAAGTCTGGTGCCGCTCACGAAAACTGCATCGCCATCATCGCCAATCCCTCTTTTTCTCATGGGCCATAGTATGGGCGGCGGTGAGGTCCTGCATTATGTCCTGAACCCAGCTTCCCCATACCATAAACAGTTCTCATCGCCCAACCGAGGACAAGATACCGTTACCCTCAAGGGGGTCCTCGCGTTCTCACCGTTCGTCGCGCTTCATCCTTCCTCTCGACCACTGGGAATTACCGTCGTGCTGGGAAGGCTGGCAGGGAAGCTGCTGCCGCGTTTCCATCTGCGCAACCAACTCGACCCGAAGTTTCTGTGTCGGGACGAAAAGGTATGCGCTGATTACGTTGCTGATCCTCTCTGTCACGAGACAGGCACATTGGAAGGATTGGCGGGGTTATTGGATCGGGCAGCGTGGCTGGAAAAGCTGCCTGCGTCGTCGTCCTCGCCCTCCTACGCTGCTGCAGAAGAGGCAGTCCCACCGATCTGGATCGGGCACGGAACTGATGATCGAATTACGAGTTTCGATGCCACAAAGCGTTTTGTGGATGTTCTGAGTGCCCGGGACAAAACTTTCAAGGTCTACGAGGGTGCATATCACAAACTGCACGCGGAACCGTACAATGTGAAGGAACAGCTTGTCAAGGACATTTCGGACTGGATTTTGGAACGGAGCGGTACTCTTGTTTCCTCGACATCTGTGGATGAGAATGCCGCAGTTTCGAATACGGTGGATTCCTCGGCCACAGAGGATCAAACCCAAGAAGTTGATAACAGTACCCAAAATGACAAAGCAAAACTGTGATGATACCCAGTCCTTTTCAACGAGGTTGGTATTTGGACATGTAAATGAGGCGACTATATCTCACATTGATTTTGTCTATTCTTGGTGAAATCTATTGCAGCCCAACCCATGACATTGTGATATTGTACATGAAGGATATTCGATCTATGCGAAGTGTGCATATAATACAGGAGATGTCTATATACAAATTGGGTATCCTTTTTCATTTCTTCCAACTGACAGAGATTTTTTTTTGGTTAGCTCTTATCTTCAATTCTTCTCCATATACCGACGAATCCACCACCGACGATCCTCAGTCCGACTTTGGGTCGGCAGACCAGGACGCTGTTATCGTCCTTTGCTGTCGTTTCTTCAGGGCTGGATGTCGCATCTTCCGTTTCGCTGCCGGTCTCCTGCGGCAGCCCTTCGTCTGATGATGTTGGTGGTGATTGGGAGGATTCACTCGATGTGTTGGAGTCCCAAGAAGTTGGGTCGGCACGAGACTTTTTTACCGCCATTCGCACATCCCACAAGCGGCCGCTGCTGAGTCCTGTCCCCAGCTCGACGGCCCGCTCCAGGATAAAGGGCAACCTCTGTTGACGGATGAGTTGAACGCATTCGCCAATCTGCGTGATGCTGGGCATGAAGACAGCTAGGATGCCGTCCCGTCGCAAGACGGGCGCCACATGGGGAATGCGCAGATGAGCAGAGGGCATGTCCAGGATGGCATAGGATAGAAATGGCTCGACAGCTGGGCCTTTTCGACCAGACAGCAACCCACTGAACACCCCCGTGGCATTTTGGCGTTGTTGTATCTGGTCTGCGATCCAATCCTCGACGTGTCCAACATGGAAATCAACATTCCCAGCGTAGATGCCGCGCCGGAAGCCGCGTACAATCTTCTCCGCGTGGGCGGAGAACTTGGCCGATACATCCACCGTATGGATCACTGCCCTGCGCTGTGCACGCCACGCGTCCCATTGTTGTTGTATTGGATCGTCGCCATGGCCTTCAGACTCCTTCTCAATGGCCTTTTCCTCGTCCTTAGCATCCGGTCGTATTGTCCGGTTTCGCAAAGCACGAACTTGAGATCTCTCCGGTATAGGTGGAGGGTTAGAATTGGCGGCGTGGATGGCTCGGGCGAGGTGCAGAGTCAGGGAACCATGGCCAGTACCAGCTTCGAGGATCTCTAGGGGCGGTTGGTCAGCCTCGCCTTCGGTCGGATGTGTGACATGAATGTCAAGGAGGGAGACGATCAAGTTGGCATCTGCTGCGTAAATCTACTGGCCGCACGTCAACATTTGCTCGATTTCGACATCTGCAGAAAACCATGAAAAACTCGGAGACGAAGCGCGTACCGGAGTGACCAGACGGGGCGTGTAGAGGATATATTCTTCGAGCGTGGGAAGGCTGAGCCGGTACTCTGGTCCTGAAGGTCCAGTCCACAGTCAGTCTCCACACAGAGTCGCCCTAGACGCATGAACGGGAAATTTGTGGAAACAAACCCTTGTGCGCTTTCACCAGATCCCTCACCCGCTTCCCAATGATGTCGTCATGCTGGAGAACTCCGCGGCGGACCTCCGTCCGCTCCCCCTTGGTAAGAGGCTTGGACAAGAGCGGATGCTTGCCATGGATGATGACTCTGTCGCCCTCTGGTAGGCAGCAGAGTTAGTACAGATATCATCTGCGAGAATACGCTTTCGAAGGTAAATACCTCTGAAGACGGAGAAGTTTGTGTCGATGGAGCGTGGGTACGACTTCGGAAGGGCTGCCGTCGGCGTTGACGGAGTCGATCCCAATCCTAGGACGCGTGACAAAGATCGGAGCAGGCGAGCCATTCCATGGAGGTGCGAGAGGATACTTGATGGCGACCTCCTCCGGCGGCAATTGAGCTTGTCTGTGAAGTTTTGCGGTCTTGGTAAAGCAAGAATTGTATACGATAGTTGATTTAGGCGCGTATGTGAGTGAAGCTTTTTTTTTTGGTAAGGTACGGAGCAAGCCCTGACCCGGAGCTGCGGTTAGGCTTGCACTGATTGCCCTGATTCACGGGCCGATTCCGGGACTCGAAAGATTAATCGCCCCTCGGGGGACTCCGCACGGCAAGCCCCAGCCCGGGCATTGCAAACCCAGCCCTGAGATTGAATATCATTGCTCTGTTGGTCAAATTCCTTCTCAATTACTAATGCATGCAACCTGGATGGACCCCTGCTAGACAATGGTTGAATACTCTTTACTTGCAAGAAAATTCCTCCCCGTCGATTGCTGCTTGTCGGGGGATTCCCTCGCTATGGCACAATAACCATGGCGACGCGCTGCCGCTTTGCTTCACCGGCCTGCCGCCGGCAAGGGTCCCCGCGCCAACTCCGAGATTGCCCCTCCATTGTTCAGATTCGCCGGGGGGAGATTCCCCAGGATCGGACCATGGTCCTCCGTGGAACTCTTTTTTTCCCTCTTCTATCACCCCAGGCAATCGACTCACTCACTAGCGCTCCTTTATATCCTCGTGTTCTCGCTGCGATTCTCTCTCTGCGCTCGTCACGCTGCACGCAACATTCAAGATGGGGTCCACCGAACTTCCTTATATCAGAACCAAGCCGAAGATCATCTTCTTCACTGACTTCGATGGCACCATTACCCTGAAAGACAGTGCGTCATTCCCCCTCCATTGCATCTCCTTGATTGCAGATTAGACCGCTAATTGTCCCTCGCAGGCAATGACTTCTTGGTACGTCTCTGCGACAGGTACCTGTGAAGACCTTCGCTTCGGCAAGCGCCTTGCTGACAATCGTTAACGACAGACGGACAACCTGGGTTATGGACAAGAGAAGCGCAGACAGGGCAATCGGGATGTGCTCGAAGGGAGAGCAAGTTTTCGGTACGCCTGGGCTCTTCCTCGTTTCGGACCTGTTTTCTTCACGTTCGGTGGATTGACGAGGTTCGGCGCAGGGATGCTTTCCGCGACATGCTGGACAGTGTCAAGACGCCTTTCAACGAGTGTATCAGGGTGCTGCAGGAGAACATGAAGCTGGACCCTTACTTTGTGGAGTTTTACAACTGGGCCAAGGAGAACAACGTGCCCATCGTGGTCTTGTCCTCGGGCATGAAACCCATCATCAGCGCCCTCTTTGAGACGCTACTGGGACACAAGCCTGACCCGAGCCACCTCGCCATTGTTTCCAACGACGTCGAGAGCCGGGATGGCAAGGATATCAACACCGAAGGCGGCTGGCAGATCAAATACCATGATGACAGGTAATTCCTCGCCCACACGCGCGCCCGCATTTTCAAACAGTCCGGGTTTTGCTAACAGCAGATGCGCAGCCATTTCGGTCACGACAAGTCGCTTGAGATCAAGCCCTATGCAGCCTTGCCCGACGGTGAGCGCCCGATTCTGCTGTACGCCGGAGACGGAGTGTCCGATTTGTCCGCCGCGAGGGAGACGGATCTCCTGTTTGCGAAGAAAGGCCACGGTAAGCACCAGTACCAAACTCCAGCCCTTCCCCGTCTCGGCTCATCCTGCTGACAATGACGGCAACCTAGACCTCGTCACCTACTGCGAGCGGGAAAAAGTGCCATTTACCGTCTTTGAAGACTGGTCGACGATCTTGGCGACCACCAAGGATATCTACAGCGGGAAGGTGACCGTACAGAAGGTTGCCGAGGACGCGCTGGAAAAGCTTCACCAGGGAGCGAACAAGCTTTAAACGAACGGCTATTACCAATACAACGCGGATAGACGATACGCTGCGGTCGCATACGGCAATAGATGGACCACCAGCAGCATAGAGCATTCCAATTCCCTTTTCCGTTTTATGATCTGGTTATTTGGGTGTCAAGCCACGTTTAGAGAGACTAGACAAGATGATAGATATCTTACGCGCTCGTGTACTGACTGGACAGAATGTGTACTCCTAGAGATAATGTACATAATGGGAAATGAAGATACAAATGCCATGAAATCCTTCTTTAGGTATATATTTAGGTTATAGGTCAACTTGTTAATAAATCTGTCTACACTACATCCATTCTCGAGACACATGACCTATTGAATAGATCTGCATAAAGAAATAGAATAGATTCATTGTCAGCTGGGGTCATGTCGCCAACCATCTAGGTAATTAGGTCCTATGGCTTACATCCTCGGCATAAAGTCGGACAAAGTGAGGGTTTGACCAGATGATATAAAGAAGTCAGGTAATGTGACCGCTGAATTAAGAGTATTTCAAAGACTCGCCGAAACCTGACCCTGTGTGTAACCTCGGCGGAGAAGTTGCAAGGCAAGTTTCAGTCAAAGAACAACTCGTCTGAACCTGACCTCCTACAGGAATACACAACCTGACCGAAGCTAAGCTCTTGCGCAATTCTCGGCGGACAGATTGCAAGGTAGCTTATCAAACCAAATCATCTCTGAACTCATGAGTAAGCGTGATCTCGGCGGACAAAATGCTGAGCAGGTTATCTGACCAAGGCACACAAACG